TCATAATTTAATGATTTGGTTTGCCAACTATATTATGAATTTAAATTATGAAAAAAAACTTAAATAAATAATCCCTGATTGGGTTGTCACTTCTCCAAAGCACACGGGTAATTTAATGATTTGGTTTGCCAACTATATTATGAATTTAAATTATGAAAAAAAACTTAAATAAATAATCCCTGGTCTGACAAGTGTCATACCTCTCATGTCATCATTTATTTATCATTCATAATTTAATGATTTGGTTTGCCAACTATATTATGAATTTAAATTATGAAAAAAAAACTTAAATAAATAATCCCTGGTCTGATTGGGTTGTCACTTCTCCAAAGCACACGGGTCCCGACCTCAGACATATGTCCCTCGATAGGTCTGCTTTGACATGGTCCAATTTGATCTACAATCGGACGAGAATGACAAGTGCCATACCTCTCATGTCATCATTTATTTATCATTCATAATTTAATGATTTGGTTTGCCAACTATATTATGAATTTAAATTATGAAAAAAAACTTAAATAAATAATCCCTGATTGGGTTGTCACTTCTCCAAAGCACACGGGTAATTTAATGATTTGGTTTGCCAACTATATTATGAATTTAAATTATGAAAAAAAACTTAAATAAATAATCCCTGGTCTGATTGGGTTGTCACTTCTCCAAAGCACACGGGTCCCGACCTCAGACATATGTCCCTCGATAGGTCTGCTTTGACATGGTCCAATTTGATCTTGCCGAGTTCGATAAGGTCGATCCAATTTATGATAGAATCAGATTGGACTCGTTTTGGTTCGGTCCGACCCACTCATCCATCTTACATCCCTAGACAACACCCCCGATCTCACCCGCAAATCCAAATGCCCGAGAATGACAAGTGTCATACCTCTCATGTCATCATTTATTTATCATTCATAATTTAATGATTTGGTTTGCCAACTATATTATGAATTTAAATTATGAAAAAAAACTTAAATAAATAATCCCTGGTCTGATTGGGTTGTCACTTCTCCAAAGCACACGGGTCCCGACCTCAGACATATGTCCCTCGATAGGTCTGCTTTGACATGGTCCAATTTGATCTTGCCGAGTTCGATAAGGTCGATCCAATTTATGATAGAATCAGATTGGACTCGTTTTGGTTCGGTCCGACCCACTCATCCATCTTACATCCCTAGACAACACCCCCGATCTCACCCGCAAATCCAAATGCCGATGATCGATCGGACGGTCCTAATGCCACCAGAGTGCCAACTAGCCGTTTCCCGATTCCTATATATATGGTATGCAAACAAAATCCCCTGCTAACGCTTCGAACCGTGGACTAGGGTTTTCGCTCTTCCCTCCAACCAAAGAAACACCCGTCGCCGCCTGCGCTGTTGTCGCCATGGGTCGCATGCACAGCCGCGGGTGATCCAACTCTCCGACTCATATCTTTCCGCTGTTTTCCGTTCTCGTTCTATCTCTCTTGTAATGGAATCGTTCTCTGCGTGTTGGGCTGCAGAAAGGGTATCTCCTCGTCGGCGCTGCCGTACAAGAGGACGCCACCGAGCTGGCTTAAGATCTCCGCAGCGGATGTGAGCTGTCGCCTCTTAATCTGGTTCCCGCTTTTGTTATTTCTTCTGTTGGGCTTTCTTTTGAACTCTGTCGATGCGGTCGCTCAGGTTGAGGAAAACATCTGCAAGTTTGCGAAGAAGGGACTGTCGCCGTCGCAGATTGGTGTTATTCTTCGTGACTCGCACGGTATCGCCCTGGTCAAGAGCGTCACCGGGAGCAAGATCCTTAGGATCCTCAAGGCTCATGGTACTAGCTTAGTAGCTTTCTCATCAGAAAATTTTCTTCTCTTCTTCTAGGGCTAGATTTTACCTTTTGTAATATGTATATGGTGCTGTCTTGAATTTGTTTCTGTTGTTCTGTTAGATTTTGAGATCGATTTTGATCATGGGGTTGATGTAGGGCTTCAACCGGGGTTACCAGAGGATCTGTACCACCTGATTAAAAAAGCAGTAGCCATCAGGAAGCACTTGGAGAGGAGCAGGAAAGACAAGGACTCCAAATTCAGGTTGATCCTGGTGGAGAGCAGGATCCATCGCTTGGCTCGGTACTACAAGAGGACCAAGAAGGTCGAATCTACCTGGAAATAGTGAGTAGCCTACCACTTTTGTGCCGTTGCTACGTGCTAATCACAATTTCATATGGTGTTTGGTAGCCGATATTTGTGGATGCACCACATTTACAGTGCTTTCTCATATGCAGGATGACTTGTTTGATAATTTATGTTAGTAAATACATCTGACAATACATTTGTGGATCTCAAGAAAAGTAGAGGGATGATGTAAAATAAATAAATTTAAATGACGCTTTCAGTATAATTTGCTACTCTGCATTTTTGAATGTGCAAAATATGCATTTGGGAGATAAACAGGCTACCACATCCATCCTTCATTGTGTCCACTATGCATCAGAGGGCAAAGAAGTCAATATACTGGATTCCCTTTTAGTTCAACATCTAGATTCTCTAGGACGTTATAGGGATCAATAGGTTTGTACACCAAAGTGTAACTAGCAGCTCTCTGAATCCATATATATCTGATCATATGGTACATCAGTTTTGATGCATAATTTTATCAGCATCTTATGGGCTTTGATTTCAGAAGCTAGGTATTATAGTTCTTTTAGTAAATTATGGTATTTACTATGATGTCAATTTTTTGGTTTCAACAGAGAATTACAGGGAAATAGGTAATGGGTAATTGATGTATTTAAAAAATTTAATTGTACCTAGGTTTAAGAAGGTGGTGAAACCATTATGTATTATTGTAGTTTTATCATGATATTGATGCCTTCAGATCTTGTAGTTGCATCTTTAATACACAACTATCAAAATCTGATCAGGCACTGACACAATGAAGCCTGTTTAGCTTTCATGTTTAATAAAAGGTTAGCAACATAAAAAAATAATAAAATTTTATGCAATATGAGAATAACATTTTAAAATGCAAACACTAACAGTCGTTGAAAGTTTGAAAAATCTTGAGGACTAAAAATTTTTAAATACTAAAACACATTTAAGCACTAAATAATTATTCTTTTAAAGATACATTAAACTAAAATAACCAGCATGTAATCAACTGTATACATGAACTAAATTCGAGCGAAGATAACACTATGTTGGTGTATCTTATAAATGTAATTTAAATGATATTATGAATATAATTTAAGAGTGATAAGCTAGAGCTCAAGAAGGTAGTAGAATCGAAATTATAATTGAGTTTCGATATGAGCATGATGTTTCTGTTGGAGTAGATAGAAATGAATATGAAGTTATTGAACATGGCACAAGGGGGATAAACATGTGATCAGTCTAATAAGTGTCATGTGTGTTTTCAGTATTCTAATTATGAGTCCTATAACTCATGAATCGTATCTGTCTGACTGGCGAACCCAAATCCCTGAGGTTTTGCAGCAGATGGCACAAAATTTTTCTATATAATTTGTTCATTTATTAAAAAAGCGAGTGTCTTGCATGCATGAAGGAAATTTGTTCAGATGATGTTGCATGGACAACAACAAGTGACCATAAGATCCCAACTAATTGTGGCTAGTCATGTAGATCTTTTCTCACCATTGAGCTGTTTGGGGGCAGCATCACTAGAAAACAAGTGGTCACAAAATATATCTTTTTGTCATTTTTAATGAAGCTTGGCTCAATCTGCGTCTCATTCTAGCACTTCTAATTCTAATTGGCTCTTATCTTTTCACTGTTACATCTATGGGTCTCCTTTATCATGTTTATATCATTGTTAAAAAAAAATCCTTGTTCTATGCGTTTCGTAGCAAATAGTGTTCTAATGAAGAGTTCTTGCCAATTCCATGACATGATAAAAAACAACAGATTTTTCATTCGAAATAATAAGCAAATAAATATATCTTCATGGAATCTTTTAATATTCTCAGGGTTACAAGAATAGCTATACTCCTTGGGACATGGACTCTAATGAATTTTGATATCTTTTTTTTTAATGTTTTGTCTAGTATGTCAATTCAAGCTTTTTCTCAATGATTAGACACATTCTATTAAAGGGCAATAAACACAATTTTGATCATTTGTATTCAAAATTTCTCTCATGCATGCCCTTAGGCATTCTTATAGGTCACTAGAGGTTGTTTAATACATGTTTTCTCCAAATTGTACTTTTGCAGCTTACAAGGTTCTTATCCTCCTATCTTTCTGTTATTGCCATTTACCCACGATATTAGTCTAATGGCTACTTCGCTTTATTTGCACAGTGATGCCAGCATTGCCAGCACTATGGTGTCTTAGGATTATGCTTACCGTAAGCAATCTGGTTCTTTGATTAGCTTGAAGACTTCATTTGTTAGAGCGGGGCCTTTATAATTTTCAAGAGAGGACAAACTTTTTTTATTGAATTATCAAATTTGTGTCAGCTGGACGTGTTAGACGTTTAGCATCCTGTTTTATTGAACTTGTGGCATCAGAATGTGCTCAAGATATGATATTTTCTATGTTCTTTAGCAGGCAAGCGTAGATTAAGCGTGTGTGAACTACAGTGTTTCTTGTTTGGAGATCACAAGCTTGGATTTAGCATGGAGCAGAGAGTCAGTTTGCTATATGTTGGCATGAGTTGATGCTTTAAACTATCGTAACGAATGGCTAGAATTTTGGTTACATGTGTGTCAAACAACGTGTTTGGATTGTGTATAGAAATCTTAATAGTCGCTATGGTCGGGCTCAAAGAAGCTGATTTGCTGTACACCTTCAGTTTCTGGGTTTCAAAGATTAAGTTGTCGATAAATTTTATATTATTATGATATTTAAAACCTTTATTTGTTTTATAATTTCTGATGTATACAATGTCAAGGTGAAATCGAAATAAGTATATATCTAAGGCCAATTTTTAACATAACAAGTATTTATAAAAATCAAATTGATATGGTTTTAAGAAAGATATAGTGTTGGTTGGTGTAATTTTAATTTATTGAAGAAAATAATAACTCAAATTTTAGTATCCGAGTTCAAATCACTTGATTTAGTTTTAATTATAACAATTTAGTTCTGTTTAAACTTTTTGATTTTAAATCGAATTTCAACTGCCACATTAAATATTTAAATATATATTTGCAAGAATTAGCTGATTAATTAATGCAATATTCGAAACTCCTCGAGGGTATGTTTGGAATTGTGACTGCATGATAAATCGTTCGGCTCGAAACCCCAACCCTCCTCTTCTGTTCAGCCAGTGCTGCATTTATTCGAAGCGCGGGAGAGTAAACAGATGCACGCAGCGGCGGCGAACGAGAGGTGAAGCTTGAGTCCTTTCCCAGAATCATCTCTCTGTCGATTCCTCCTGCTGTCTGAAGTGATTTCTAGTCTTAGGTTTTGATCCGTCGGAATAGATGGTGGCGGCATACGGAGCGATGAAACCGACTGAATTGGGCCTGGAAGAGCCCCAAGAGCAGCTCCACCGCATCCGGATCACCCTCTCCTCCAGGCTCCAAGAACGTCATGAATCTCGAGAACGGTGCATCATGTCTATCACATCACTTGGATCTGGTTCTCTTCTTCTTATTTCCTTATTTCGAATTGGTTGTCCAGTATGTGCGGATCTGTAGAGGTGAGCGAAGGACAAGCGGCTGACGGTCAAGGTTGCCCACCAAGGTACTCCACATCTCTGTTTTGATCTTTCCCATGTTTACTTAAATTCATGATGTCCAGCAATGTTGCTTGTCTTGATCATCAGCCTGATATTGACGTATTGTGTCCATGGCATCAGTTCGATGGCCTCATAGATTAATCTTCATCAGCGCTTTTTATAGCTTTGATTGCAATGGACGCTGATCTTAGTTTTGATGGCTTAAAGCTGACTCAACGACTTGCTCACCATCTCAGTTGCAACTGGTAGTGTATTAGTTTAGAAAACAAAAACATGGACATACATTATTAACGAAAAATGAATAATACATTTCTATGATTTATTGGTTAGTATCTGTGCTTATTGATTATATAATTTTCTGCACATAAGTCTTCATTAAGCAAAGATGGCACTTCTTGTAAATAATGCAAAGCAGATAAATTGAAACAAACTGCTAATGATGTGCAGCTTAGATCTTAGGCTGCATCAGTTGGCTGAGCAGATAAATATCAAGACACAATTGGCAAACTTCTGCTCTATGATGTCTCAGAGATTGAGCTTTTTTAAAGTTAATGCTTAATTAAAATGGCAGCCTTTTATGAGGAGAGTGTCTGTACACATGCCTACCTAGATGTATACACATGTATATATATCTACTGACTAGTACCCAAGAACTAAGGATGCTTTGCTGTTTCCCTTGAAGAAACCTAGAAAAGTTGTGGACCTAATAAATAAAATATTTAACAAAGCACAGTACCATCCAAGTGTGACTTCTTAACAATTTCAAAACTTGATAGAATATCTTGGTTTCAAAATGGTTCAGCAGTTCAATTTATTATGCGTATGACTATAGAAATTTGGTTCATTATACTTTGGGTAGGCTAATGTATCAGGTATGGGAAGAAAAAAAAAAAGAATAGTATTGCAAATCTTGACCTTTTTCATGTTATACCATGTTCCAGAGTTAAAAAAAGGTAAAATTAGCAATACTTTTGAATGCCTTATATCTCTTAAGTGCCTATTTATTGTATTAGGTTTTGTAACTTCTACTTGTATTTTGTTGTACCAGAGGCTTTTGGTGAAACATTGATTGGGGAAATAACTAATACCAAAGATGTAGCTTTCAAAGCTTAAGCTTTTCAAATTTTGTGTAAAATAAAAATTGTTGTTTCTTTGCACTAAGATTTTCTTTTGGATGATTTCCCTAAAAAAAGCTCCTAGTGTTGCCTTTTTCTTGTAGAAGGCTCCATATTGGACAAAGGTGATCTCAATCGCCCTTTTGTCATTTTCTTCATTTTTCTCTCTTTCTAGATACATTCAACTGATATAATATTGGTTCAATTGAATGAAATTAAAAAGAGAGGGAAATGAGGAAAAAGACAAAAGAGTGGCTGAGGGTATGTTTGTCCAGCTGCAAAGATAGGGTTTCTCTATTGGAAAAATCTAATATGCTCTGCGGGAAAGGCAACAATAAGGGGTTAAAAGGAAATCATCCTTTTCTTTTTACTTTCAGGATTTTCATAATAAGGGTAGTTCTTGAGGAAAAATAGAAATAAAGTTTTTAAGTGAGTCTGGTGCACTACTGTTGTACTTATCTTTCAAGTGTTTGAAATGCAAATTTGAAGTTGAAAAAAAGTCCATTAATGTATATGATAATGTGTGTTACACAAAAAAGTTTACAGTTTCTTCTTTCATAATTGAGCATCTTGTATGGGGTCACCAACAAATAATTTGATTGTGCAGATGAGTTTGAGTTTACAAGTAAGAGAATTAGTCTATGCTGAGATCTTCTCTATGAATTCTTACAAAACAACTTTTTAAAACTGATGCTCGGTTGTCTGGTTGTCTGTGGTGACTATTAGCCTAATATGACAGCTTGAAATACTAAAACAGGATATTCCAATGATCATTGCTTATCAGTGTCCGATTTGGACTTGACTTTGAAGATTATAACAATCATAAGAAGGATCCCTGGAGTACTGGAGCAGAGCTTTCACCTTCTTTGAGAAAAATGAAACTTTCAAATGACCAGGTTTTAAAGTTTACTGTCCTCTTTGGATCTATGTTTAATGAGGTTTCCGGTTTTCTGACTTCATACTGTTGGTCTGGTTAATTTGCATGGTGGTATTGCTTGGATTGGCAAAGGCATGTTATCTTATGGGTTTGCTTTAGACATGTTATTTTGTAATTGGAGTCATGCCAGTATCATGTTGATACAGTTGAATCCACTAATGCTCATAATTTGATCTGTTTCCAAGTATATCATCATGTTATCTTAGTCTGCAACTTTTCTGGAACTTGATGGTGATCTTTAATCGCATGAACCAACACATGAAATCGGTTTGAGCTCCGTGTACCCCAGAGTAATTGATCTTGCCAGCTCTTCCGAGCTGGTGAAGCAGATCGCCTGGATCAGCATCGAACCTGGCTTGGACGTCGAAGTGACAATTGCAGAACCATAAGTTTATCTTGATCTGTTAATCCAAGCATCGCATGTCATTATACAATCTTCTAAATGGCCTATTTTACATTCAGATTTTTCTTGATTTCTACGGGTAAGTGAACTGGCTGTTTAGAGTGTTTTTCTTTTTTTCAGAATGATATCTTATTCCTCTTCAATTCCTAGCGTTTGGCTTAATCTCTGAATCTTATGAGGATCTTTATTTTCTTGACAGACTTACCTCATGCCTTGATTCGCCAAGCAACTGTTTGTGACAATACTCAAAAGAAGCTAGCACAAAAGAAATCGTGTGATTGGTTATCCGATGACATTTACAAATAGCAATGCTCCTTTCTCATGTCATCCTCTTCCAAGACGCCGGACCAGTTGGCCCGCCATGTTTCGTCGCCTTCTGCTCCTAAAAGGCAGCGAGAGTACCGAAGGGGCAAACCCGATCGCCAAATTTCCCGCTGCTTAAGCATCGTTAGGACTGCAACGTGGCCTACGGCGACGCGCGTTCGTACTGGGAGTCGGCATGTGCTGCGGGATCCATATCCATCGCTACTCTTCTCGCGGATGATCGCCCATCAGAAAGACAGACTATTTGATGCGAGGGGGGCCGGTCCCGAAGAAATATCCCGCCTGTGCAATCGATGGCACGCGGTGGGGGTCATAATTTACCTCTCTGCTGGTCCACCACGAGAGAGCCGAGGAGGCCCACCACCTGTTCGACGATTTGATTGTTGAACACGCACGGCCCCGCGGTAAAAAACCAGGAAGGTATGTATTATTACGCCATATCCATTCGTTGATATCTGCATAGTTAATTGTTGATGGAAGACATTTTTACATTGTAGTCAAGTAAGCCGAATGGATTAAGGTTAACATTATGGTTTTTTTTTTTATTGTCATCGTAGTACAGAAACAGATAAAGATGAAATGGAAGCAGAAAAGAGAAGGTGAGGGTTTCCCATGAGGCATGGAGGATTGAGTGCTTGTACAAGCAATGGCTTGAAATGTGTGTAAGGGAGGCAAGTGGGGCCTGCACTGGCAGCTAGGTATAAAGGTTCCAACCTGTCATCCATTATTTACGACCATGGCCATTCAATGGCGCGCTTTCCCCCCTTTCTCTACCACTTCTCTTCTTCTTCCTCCTTATAACCAGGCAATAGAAGAGTAGTGTCTGAGAAGGAACCCCACTTCCTTCCTTTCCACACACTCCTCTCTCGTGGCCTTCTTTAGGTATAATCTCTTCTGCTACAATGTCCGTGTCGAGCTCCTGCTTGTTGCTCCTCGCGCTCGCGGCTTTGGCGGTCGCTTCGCCACTCGCTGTTGTGGCGTGGCGGCCATGGCCGCACCACTTCGTTAGCAGAAGCGCCGTCAATGCCACCGCCGCCATGAACACTGGCGGTGGCAGCGGTGGGAGTGTAGACACCGGGGGCCTCGGGGTGTCGAAGAAGTACGAGGGGTCGTCGGAGTTCGTGAAGCTTCGGTACCACATGGGCCCCGTGCTCACGGCCAACGTCACCATCCATCCCATCTGGTACGGTGCTTGGGCACCGGCTCAGAAGCACATCCTCCGTGCCTTTCTCCGCTCCATCTCCGCCGCGTCCGCCCCTCACCCTTCCGTCGCCGCCTGGTGGCGCACCGTCCGCCTCTACACCGACCAGACCGGCGCCAATGTCTCCGCCATCGTGCTCCTCGGCGCGGAGCGGTCCGACCGCCACTACTCCCGCGGCCGCGCCCTCACCCGCCTCGCCATCCAGTCCGTCATCCGCGACGCCGTGACCGCCCCCCGCCGCCCCATCCCTGTCAATCCCCGCGGTGGCCTCTACCTCGTCCTCACCTCGTCCGACGTCGCCGTCCAGGACTTCTGCGTGCAGGCCTGTGGCTTCCACTACTTCACTTTCCCGGCCATCGTCGGCTACACCCTCCCCTACGCCTGGGTGGGCAACTCCGCCACCCAGTGCCCTGGCATCTGCGCCTACCCCTTCGCCGTGCCGCCCTTCGCTGTCGGTCTCCGCTCCGCGGAGCGCCCGCCCAACGGCGACGTCGGCGTCGACGGTATGGTCAGCGTGGTGGCGCACGAGCTGGCGGAGATGGCCTCCAACCCGCTCGTCAACGCGTGGTACGCCGGGGAGGACCCCTGCTTCCCCACCGAGATCGCCGATCTCTGCGAGGGCATCTATGGAACCGGCGGTGGCGGAGCCTACACCGGCCAGCTGCTGATCGACTCTCATACCGGCGCCGCCTTCAACTTGCACGGGGTGGGCGGCAGCAAGTTCCTGGTGCAGTGGATTTGGCACCCCTACTTGAGCTACTGCAGCGGACCCAACGCACTCGATCACCAGTAACCTTCCTACCACTGTTACCAGCAGGAAGTCGAAAGAAGATGAAGCCTGCCTCATGCGCTACCTAAATAAGAAAGTGGAGGAAGACGACTGAGGAGATGGTGTAGGAGTAGGGCTTTGTGTACAGAGAGGGAGGTGGACGAAGGTGGGAGACAGAAGCTGCTTGCTCATGCTTTCGCTGCTAGTGTGTGTTGTGTTCATAGTGTCTTGGGCTTCTCACTCATTGCATCGCTTTCCTCTTCCATCTCGCTTTCCCCCATACTTATGCTTCTGCTAGGAATGCATTTGGCGTGCATTCTTAGAGAGCAGCAATGGAAGAGCCGCTGATGTTTAAAGCTGCGTCATTCCGAGCCTCCGACCTTGTCCAAGGCGTCAGCTTACCATGTCGAGCAGTGGGTTAATGGCCATGGCATCCTCCCCATAAGCGAGAAAGGCAGTGAGGGAGGATGATAATACGAAACCTTAGACGTCCTTTGATCCGTAGAAAACAGCGGCATCTGAATTCGAACAAGCCAAGCGGAGGAAAACGACGACCGTCCGTGACACCACTCCTTCACTTTGTCATGGGACTTTGGTCGAGCGTCCATGGCCTAAGTTTAGCTTTCGAGAGGCGTTAAACTTGAACGTAAGAACTCATCTGTTTCTATCAATGGTCCTGCCTTTACCTTCCCAAACCCAAAACGCCTAAAAATAGGTTCCACGCATGACGCATTTGCTTTCACTGCTTTGGAACGCTCATGTTCGTGTACCACACTAAGTCATCTGACTAGCTTTCGAATTGGAGGCCCCAAAGTGATGTCAAACGAAATGAGAGGAAAGAAGCAATGCACCAACGCACTGTGTTACTGTATACTTAAGCTTCTTAGGATTTATGATAATCTAATTAAAAAAATCTCTCTTGTAATATTAAAATAGTTTTTTGTCGATTTTTAATAAATATTTCTGCAATGAGCAATCTAAAATTACTCTGAACCGCGTGAAAGCCGTGTTTGTTCTGCTTTCAAAGGCAGTTTGAAGCAGCTTTCTATTTAATTAGCAGCTCTTCTGCTGTACTGGATTGCTATTGCGGCTAAAAGAAGTTATCAAAAACTTTGTTCCTTTTATTTAATATTTTTATGCAGTGTGTAATAACTCCGTTTAGTTCAATCGACATGTGATCTGTTGGGTATAATAGTAACGATATGGATTTAAATATTTTAGATTAATGGTTCAAATTTAATAAAATTAAATTTCATTGGGTAAGTCCATTGGATTAAACATCAACCCAATTAAGTTAGTCAAAAATTAAAATTGATCAAAATAAAAAATTAATTAAATTTTATTTTTTTCTAAATTCGATCAAAAACTTGATTGATCAAATCTAAATCTAATCAAGCACTCAAAATACAGTTATGTTCAAGTCGGATCAAAATATTTTAACTAAAATAAATTTAATTAATTAATTTTATAATTGAGAATATAAGTTTAAAATCTTTAATATCTAAAGGGTAAAATTATAATTTTTCACAAGATATATAATGTAAATATTTGATTTCTAAAAGGTATAATTATCAAAAAGATATAATTAAAATTAAAAAGATTTATAAAGGTAAAACTATAATTTTAAAATGAAACCCTAATTCTCTCGCAGTTGTTGCCACCTATGCGTCACCCGTGGTGGCGCGAATATTCTCGTTTGGTTAATTGACACCTCACCGTTGCCATGCCCACGCGTGAGTATGCACATGTGCCACCCAGTGACCCCCTAAGGTCACCACAGTGCACGGTTGTGCCCATGCTTTCGCCCAAGCAACCATTATTCTTCAACGTCCAATTGACGCTGGTCGCGATCGGCAAATGCCACCACAGTGGCATTGCTGCAACTACCATAGCCACCTACGACCAAGGCAAGTCGACCATTGCAAGGTTGTTGCACACATGTAGTTGTGCATACAATCGTCATAGGCTATCGCATCCCATGACACTTTTACTGTATATGCAATCATTACCTACAATTGGGTTGGTGACCACACGATATCGTTGCCCTCAATAATAATGTCACCAACAACAAGCTGTCGATATTGGTCCATTGATTAAACACGCGGAACCTCGCATCGCCCGTAAGTAAGTGATAAGACAAACTAGATAAAAAAAGCATATTGACAACAAAGACGGCTTGTTTAAGTATCATAAATAAAAAATAAATAACACTTTTTAATAAACGAAAGGTGCTAATAAATAGGTTCATATATAAAATAGATTTAAAATATTTTTACGATATAAAGTATTTGATTTCAAAAAATAACTTCGATAGCAATTATAAGTATAAAAATCATGATTATGCTTCTATTATACAAAAAAAACTTTAATATTAGAAACTAAAATCAAATAGTGATAGATCAAATTTATGAAGTGTACCTTTCGATACTATTCAGAAATCCTTTATTTGATTTGCAGATGCATTGTCATCCAATCCAAAAATTGTAGTAATATCAATCTGTAAGGAAAATTAAACTCGCATTCTCCTCTCTTTCTATCATTCACAAAACCGCTATAAGTGATGAATTATGGACTAAGGGATATCGGGAATAGATATGCAATCTCAATAACTTTACGTAACTAAGGGGAGATGAGAAAAGATTTGTAATATCTCAAAAATATCATATCACGTATCTATGTTAAGTCTCTAAGAAGTCATGTCTATCTATAAATAAGAAGGTCTATGATAAGTAATCTATTCTTCCTTTCTTGTTCACGGACTATTTCATTCTTCTATTATTTTTTCATTTCTTTTTTATTGTTAGCATTTGTATTGTTATCATCCTTTACATTTGTACATATATATGAAAAATCTTGAACATATTATTAGATATTTTAGCCATTTTTTTTTTTCAAATAGTAAATGTTGAGGAGAGGCTTTTGTCTTTGGACTTTTGCTAGTAATACTCTGATGTTTACTGGTTAAGATAAATGAAATTTTAAAAAATTATTAAAATTTAGTTTTGATCATTTTTAAATGATAGGCCTTAGTACAATGGAAATGCTAGGTTGTTCTTTACGATCTAGAAATCAGAGTTCAAATCATGAAAATAATTTTTTATATAAAAAAAATTTTAGATATTTAAAGATAAAACTATGTATTGACTCTCTTTAGATCCCGCATATATAGGACCACTTAATGAGCAACATCCCGCATATATAGGACCACTTGATGAGCAACATGATGCTCGTGAGCAAACTTTCTGCTCAAAAGAAACATAGCATTGTCAGAATAATCATCGCATATCTTGCAAATATATGTCAGATGAGGTCCAAATATAATACCTTAAGATTGATGGCCTCACACAGCTATGGACAAAGACAGTTGCAAGCAGTAGTATCTTGGATGGCTTCCCCAGTAAAGTGCAGTAGTAACTAGATACAACACCACCTCTCCAAGATGTTCTCCAGAGCAGACAACATACGAGGAGCACCTGAACATGAAGAGGCTTGGATTTAGTGTGAGCTTATGCTGATTTCAGCACTATTGTGTCGATGGCTAATGCTTGTTAGTCCTTCGATAATGGTGATCACATTCAAGGAGTAGCCACATTTTCCTTGGCAAGAGGAGCCATCTCCTCGAGTTGATTCCTCGTTCACTACCAGCAATTCCCAGGCTCAGAAACAATTGCTCCTACTTCTTAGCTGGTCCCTGGGACAAGCAAGCAACAAGTGGACCACACAAGTATAAAGAAGCGTGAGATGTTTGCAGCATATTCAAGGGCTGTTAATATTTTCCTAGCACGAAAAAGCTAACATGTAGAGAACCCGAGGAGAGAGGATCAATCTTTTGTTGTTCACCTTCCAGGAGAGATCTTGGTCCATGCAGTTCTGAATCATCTTTGCGAAAGCAGCTGTTTGATAGACCTCGAGCACCCTCTTCGTCATTTTCACAACTTTTTGTATGTCATCCTCATCGACGACATCACACTGAAAGAAGAGGAATTTCATGCTCTGTAGAATCATGTTGACGCATTGATATGATGATTCACATAGGAAGCATGTCCTCACGTCGACATTGAAAGGACGCATATGTAAACCAGTGATGCCTTCTTTGACAGTGTCAACGAGTCCGCCAGTGGTGGCACACATGGGAGGCTGCAGAAAATTTTCACAATGGTCAAGATTTTCTCGCATGCCTTTGTTCAAAGAGATAAATATAGAATGAGATAACAGAATGCCTAACTAAAGCTGCAAAATGATATGAAACATTTCCACTCTAAAACCACACTGGAAACTAATCGAGCAGACGGAATTCCATTCGAGAACTGCCACAAAAGGAATGACAAGCTGCCATGATCCCATGAGCCAGAGGAACATTGAACTTTAGATGTGCTCTAACTTTGTCTGGAAACATATTCTCAAGCAATGCAAGCTGTTGCTCCAATTTCTTCTTGCCGGTACCCTGTAGGTGCACTCATCAGTGTCCTGCACTAAACAGAAGCACGGTACAAACCATGGGGTTCATCACTTACAAGAACTATAACTTGGAACATTTTCATCAATGAATTCTGGAATTGCTGCAGCTAGAATGTCTGAGCCTTTCTGCTCTTCTAGTCGTCCGATGAAGGCTATAACAGGGATGTTTCGGTCGACAAGCAGCTTAACCTCAACTTGCAAAGCTTCCTTGTTGAAAGGTTTTGCATCCATTACCTAAAACTTTCTTTATAATTCAATTGTAGAGTCAAAAGTAAGGTCAAAATCGGCTGGCAATGCTTACTGTTGTTGCATCATAATTTGCAGATATATATCTGTCTGTCGATGGATTCCACTCATTTGTGTCCATCCCATTTACTATTCCAGTGATGCCTGTCAGCAGGATGTTGTCAACTCAACACCCTTTTCTTCCCCTGAGACAAGCTATTGGGCGTAATATGGGCTTACAGTCACAAACCTGTCTGATTCTAGGATTCCAGCTTTCATCCTAATTTTCCTTCCTTTCACAGGTTTGTCATATCTGCAAATTCAATTTATTATGTGATTTTGTCTGTGACGAGAAATTCATTTACAACAATTTCAGATTAATAACTAAAAAATATATAATTGAAAAGCATACCCATCAATAAAATCAAAGGAAGATTTAAATTGGTCAAGTAAAACGATTGCTCAATGAATCAGTTACCTATCTATCAGTAGAAATTCCCAAAAACTAAGAATAAAATCGGGTAACATGGGAAACACACCTTGCATTCTTGTAAATGCTGTGTGATTGGTACATGGTTTCTAAGTAGCATGGCAGTAAAGCAGTGTGCCAATTATTGGCAACAAGCACAACATCCTCCCCTGGATAAAAGAAATCATTGACAATAACAAAAATCATTGGTAGAATTGATCAGTTCAACAGAATATTATGAACAAAGATCATTCACATACCACACGGTCCAGAGAAGTGTTAACTGTTGTTGAGATGTAGAACTCTTGGAGCTTGCAGAGCTGCCTGAAAAAGTAATCCGCATCTTTGTGAAAACTACAACAGAGAGAAATTTAAAGTTTACAAGCTTCAAGGAAACCTCCTGATGCTGGTAATTGTTTGATCACAAAATGCACAAGTCCCTCACCTGGCACAGAAGGCTGAATCTTATCTGGTTGTCTTCATAATCAGTTCCTGCGAGAGGACCATATATCTTTCCTCCAGTTTTTCCCCAAACCTAAGGCGTGCAGATTTATGGTAAGCTTTATGTGGACAAAACAAATTAACATTATCGGTACTCTTAGAAAATTATTTTCCAAGGTAGATATAAGAAAAACCTTCTCAAGAAACATAGGGTGATCAAGAAAAACCCGATCAACCCCATTTTTGTGGCAGTGGAAGAAGTGAACAGTTTCGATGCTGCCCCCGACTTTTAACTGCATTCAGGAATAGAGATCAAGCAGTTTGGCTCAAAAGATTGGAAACGCTTGTGGCATCAACTAAATAGCGTACCTCAACCATGATGCTCGTATCCCACGCATCTCTGTATTGATCATACCGTGGTGCGACAGTCATGACCCTGTGTCCATTAGCCTACAGGAGGATCAGCCCCAAATAATCGAGTCAAAATAGGTTCCTGCTAAGAGAATTGTTGATCACACAAAAAAATCAACGAGTTGCATGAGGCAACCGTGCAGCATTGAGCAACAGTATAAGGAATACCGCCATGGCCGGTGGCAATCCTCCAAGAACATCACCGAGACCCCCAGTTTTGCTCCATGGAGCCACCTCAGCACCAACGAACACCAAGTTCATTCTACTTCGACACACAACAACAGCCCAGGGCTTACGAGTCGAACGCCGGGAACCCCTTGTAGCTTTCTCAGAAGATGCCTTCGAGTTCTGCTGCATTTGAAGTGAATCCACCACGTTCCTCGATCTCAGCCCTTCATGAGCGGCGGCACGGCTACTCAAGTAGGGAATCCTGAAGCTCTGGAACTTCACCGGCTCGGAATCAAAAGCTCCGTTGTAGGCGGAGCGTGAGCGATTCGAGACGAAGTGCGATGCCGTCACAGCAGCCATTGGGGAATACGTCGCTGCAACCGAATCGAAGATATTTGCATTTTTTTGGTGAATTCTCAGTGTTCTTTGTACCAAATTTCGTTCAAATCATATGTTGAATTGATTCCCATGAACTTGAGTTTAAAGATCGATCAGAGTAACTCGAGAATAGAGAATCCGACTAGTAAAAGAATGATCCAAAGAGGATCAATGATTTCTAGTGCAAGAATCCAAGAAACTCAAACCTAAACTCGGTCCCCAGACATTGTAGAAGCAGAAACTCCACGGTATCAAAGAGATCGCGACAAAACAAGGAGATAATGCTACCGATTTCGCTAACAGATGTTAGAACAATATGAAAGCCAACAGAAATTACCGCTCTCTCTTCGATGTGAGAGAGAGAGAGAGACTGGTTTCTCTCCCTCTCTTTCTGCGAGCAGCGAGGCTTGAGCTTGACATGGGAAGCAGCGGAGCCTCGTACCCTGTAGGAGAGGAGACAACGAAGCAGCGCCGCGACGCGTGGCGATGTGACATGGGAAGGGCGTGGGTCCAGGGGTGAACCAAGAACATAAAGCGGAATATGCGAAGGCGTGCGTCGCACGGGTGAGCCGTAGATCCCGCCACGTCAGCAGACTGTTCCATCTTTTTTTTGGCGACCGATTACCGAAATTGCCCCCGTTGCGGTAGTTAGCGGGTTGATTCGATATCGGATCTTGGGTCCAACCCGACAAGCTTTTGGAGTATCTGAATTTGAATCCAATAAGAGTTTACTAGTATCCTATAGTCTTATAATTATTACAATTAAGTTCTCAATTAAAGGGCATTTTAAGTACTTCAAAATTGTGACACTATTGTAAAACTCATTTGTAATCATGATTAACACAGGAAAGCATGAATACATCGAAGGTCTAAATATATTATCGAGTAGCAAACATGCGTTATGAAGAGGCCATCTAAATGTGCATCAAACGTAAACCAAGCTGCACAAAAATATACCACGGTCGCATATTAATAAGATCCACATCCATAATCGATACGTTGTAGGGATGCAGAACAGCGATTCGTAATGAAGGCTGCTCCATAGATGGTGCCTTCATATGATGATAAACACATTTGAGCCCTTCGACACAAGGAAAGTAGATATGATGAACCTTTCAAGAGCCAGGGACACTTTTGCACTTGGGAATTGGATCTCATGATAACCGCTAAAACACTGGGACCATGTATAAAATGTACATATACATATGTAGCATATACACAAGATCAGAAAAAAAATTTACATGCAAGAGTGCATATGCTTGTCCACATCAACTACTTCTGATACATAATATGGGAACAATAATTTATAACAGAATTGCATTTTAAATTAGGTGATTGCATACAATTCAATTGTGCAAAATGATATATATACATGCATTCATAGTTAGACCATGGCCGTATATGCATAATTACAACTGACCTTCCTAATTCTTCATTTAGTTGTCATATCTGAGACTGAATGATGATAAAAACTAAAAGGTTTTATAAGTTGATGGCATGGTATCATTTAATACAGTAAAAGAGTAATTCATGTTATCATTTAGGTATTCTAAACCATTAATACAACAAATTACTGTGATGATAAATTGTCTAACAAATTACTGTGATGGAGAATTGAAATCGAAGAATCATGACAGATCAAAGAATTCAACAAGAAAATTTTGTGATCAAAGAATTAAGCTGGAGCACTTTGCTGCTGATAATGATAGGAAGGGTGACTATCTCAACGCTGAGAGGTTACAGTAGAATGGAAACACCAATGACAAAGATTTAAGTCTATATACATATCATATATTGGACTAATAGCACACAGTTAAATTACTACTGTTTGTGCATGGCAGCAACCTTCAAGACCTTAATACTAATTGAACAATGTCACGAAGACTGAAGAAAGTGGCACCAAAGCTCATTGCCAATGGTGAATGGAAAAGCGTAACCTTAATTTTGTTTTTTCATATACAGTTGCAACCAGAGAAGGGCAATCATCAATCTACAACAAAAGGCAGAGTTTTACAGAAAGCATAAAAAGAGAATGAAAGGTTACAAAGAGGCAGAACCATCAAGAACAAAGACAGCAACAATAACCATGATCTCATGCTATATACCAATGATTCCACTAATAACAGATGGTTAAATTTATACAAGGCTCTAATACTTGTAGGCGCAAATCCATTGATATTATAATCGAACAATAGATCAAACGTTGAAAGGATGGCACCCTAAACACCATAATGACTAGTCACTAATGGTGAATGAAAAAGCATAGCATTATCTTTGGGTTTTTTCATCCATCCTTGCAAAACAAAACCAATTGTCATCAATGGGCACCAACCATCACAGTTTTTATCTAGACTCATTATCAATTCAAGAATGAATTGGGACAAAATATAAGAAGAAATATTGGCTCTGTAAGCATCAACAAGAGTAGCTGTCTTGTGTGCAACAAGTGAAGAAACAAAATATATGTCACATTTTATTGCACTCGCACCTCAGATTAGATATACTATACAGACACTGAACAAGTTCATGCGTGCCAGAGTAACACAGCAATATATGCATCCGGTCAAGCTAAAGAAAGATCAGTGTCCACAAAATATGCTCACAAATCATGCCCATAGCAAGAATAGAACAAAATAAAGTACGAACACAACAATTCGCTAAATAGAAACATCATATACCAACATGAAAAATTCTTACATTCCATTAGAAATAATCCTGCCACCTTGAGTTGACATACGCAAATGTGTTAGAAGCAAAATTGAACGTCATAACACCAAAATCAGGAAAAGACTTAAATCGGCAATAGTACTAAAGCAGTGCTCTCGCTTTCTCTCTAATCAAACAAGCTGAATCCCATGTCGTCGTCGCTCTCCTCCTTGGGTTCCTCCTGCGGCAACAGAAGGGAAAATAAAAAAAAACAAATGAAACCCTTTGCCAACTCTTTACAGATTAAATTCCGATGTAGCGAACATAAACAAACGCAAGGAAATTTACAAATATCTCACCTTTTTCTCCTCAGCCGCAGGAGCGGCAGCAGCGGCAGCACCACCACCCGCACCAGCAGCAGGGGCAGCAGAGACTGCAACCGAAGCACCGCCACCTCCTGCAAGAACATTCAAACATTATGCACAAAGAACTTAAAAATCGGATTTTTCTTGATAAGAAGAGAAACAAGATCGAACCGGATCCAACGCTCAAGATGAGATCGTCGACGCTTCTCTTCTCGAGGAGCTTGGCGAAGAGGGGCGCCCAGTAGGAGTCGATAGTCAGATTGGCCGCCTTAACTACGGTTAAGATCTTCTCCGACTGATCATTCGACAAGACATGTAAAGAAAGAAATAAGAATGCACATATAATCGCTGCAAACAAAAGAAGAACCCTAGAGGAACAGAGAACGAGGGAGAGAACCGTGATGGGTATGCCGTCGTCGTGGAGGATGAGCGCGGCGTAGGTGCAGGCGAGCTCTCCAATCGACGACATGGCAGCGATAAAGTGACGAAGGACTCCGCTGCTGACCGACGTGAAAGAGAGAGCAATCACCGAGAAGAACACCAGAGGAAAAGAATAGCTTGAAGAAACGGAGGGATCGAGAGCGGAAGAGAGGAAGCTTGCCTAAGAAGACTTGGGCGGATCGTCCTCAGCCGCGCTGAAGGAATCGTTGGTAAGGAGTTAGGGTTTAATGGACACGCAACATGGCGTACGGGTCTGTCCAACCCCAGACAGGCTTTAGTAAATAGGAGCCCCCGGTTGGTAGAATTCTGGGTGTTGTTGACTGGGGAGTCGTTTGATTCCGTCTTAAAAGCGTAAGTTTGTCCTATAGGCCCACATGAATGACGCAAGACGCAAGACGCAGTTGAAGTGGCGAGAAATCCGATCGATGTAATCCCGAGGTTTCATTTGTTCGTGCAAGTTGGACTCCACATCGGATCGGGATGTGAGATTTCTCGGGGTTCCAGAGCTGGACCAGAATTTCTACATAAACGGTTATCAATGAATTCCCGACCTCATCATTTCGATGATAAAAGTAATAATAAAATAAAATTGGTTGAGTGTTTTTTTTTTTCCGGTGCCCTCCTCTAAGTTTTGAAAATTGATTTTTATACCTGAGCGATCGATGACGGGAGGCTGATGGCACTTTCCTCGATTCGTACTCTTACAAGGGTTTATTTATGTTGACGATTGGTTGGTATATTTTTTTATGACGCATCATCAACGAAGGACGATAATAGGGGTGTTATTTGTTTGGGTTGGTGTCTGCTATAAGCGAACGGTGATCGCCCGTGCCAAGCAATCGAGAAAGGGAGAGATGGGCCTCATTGCCAGGGATCAATGGTCCCTTTAGGGCATGTGGCCGGAAAAGGGAGAGATGAGTTCCGCCGTCGGAGATTAATGCTCTCTACGATCGAGCGACCTTTCCCAAAATCATTATTGTTGGGAGGTGAAAGTTTGCTTCCCAACTACTCGCTGCAAGGAAGGGGAGGTGTGTGGGCCTTTTTGCCCTCGTCACTACCTAGGTGGTAATGGGTTGTTGGGTGAGTCAACAGGTCAAAGTTGACATCACCTTGTTCCCTATCATTAATCCACCCTAGAAGACATACTTTAGAGCTCCAATAAGGGGGTTCAAGGCACATCATTCAGCCATTTTGTTTCGTCGGGGTTGATTGGGTCGGGTTCCACGATTTTTATATTTTTGGTGTATCCCATTTAGTGTGCCTGTAATTTTCTGACTTGTTTGTCTCGAGTACATCATGTCTGACGTTTTGTCATATTTATCTCTATTGTAATAGATTTTTTTTCTTGCCATATTAGGATGAGAGTTCCACCGTAGTGTGCTGGGGGCTCCACCATAGTGGGCCTCGTCGTCTGTCATAGTGGCCTTAAGGCTCCGTCGTAATGGATCTTGTTGTCCATCATAGTGGGTCTTCCTCTCGTCGTATCGAGTTTAGGGCTCCACCGTAGCGGGCCTCGTCATCCATCGTAGTAGGTCTTCCTCCCATTGTAGCAAGCTTAGGCCTTCATCGTAGTGGGCTGGGGGCTTTGTCGTAGTGGGCTTTTCCAGAGCATGAGTGTCCCTAACGGATCCTTGTCTACTATCGCATCACATCATGGTGGTAATGTCCTATGCTTTGATGATTCAAGTAGGGAGAACCTCAACCATCGGGTGGCTCCTTCCTGTCGATCAAGCTGAAGCTAACTTGGCCAGTCCATTTGCTTGGGCATTATCCACCCATGTGATCCTTTACACGGTAAGTCGAAGGAAGCAATGGGCAAGTTGGCACACCTTGGCTAAGTATCTTGCCATCGGTGCATATTAGGTTTCATAACTCTCGTCAATCCAGCTAAAGCTCTCATGCTAGTTGAAGCTCAAAAAGGAGAGCTTCATATTCAACTTCATTGTTAGTTATTTTGAACTCGAACGAAAGGACATGCATGTAGACCTGGTTGCCTAGGCCCCTCTGTACAAGTCCAACTCTATCTCTTTCTGAAGTGGTTGAATTGTTGACGAATAAGGTCTAGGTTGGGATGACGTGCTCTCCTCCTTCACCTTCGGGAGAAGGTGCCAGCTCTGATATGAAATCTGCTAGCACATAGGCTTTGATGGCTATCTTCGGGATATATTGTATGTCAAATTCTCCAAGCTCCACTGACCACTTTAGCATTTTCCCGGAGATGTTGAATCTCAAGAGGACTTGCTGGATTGTTTGATTGGTGACCACTCATATCGGGTGCGATTGAAAGTAAGGGCACAACTTCCTTGCTACAAGTACTAGAGCGAACGTTAGCTTCTCAATGGAGGGATAGCACTCCTCGAGGCCATTCAGAATATGGCTAGTGTAGTACATGGGTTGTTGTACTCTTGCATCTTCTCAAAACAACACTGAGCCGATAACTTAGCTAGTGGTCGTAAGGTATAGGCTCAGTGTCTCACTTGGGGTGGCTGAAGTGAGTTATGACAATCGAACAAGGTGGCACTTCAAAATGTCAATGGCTTCTTGGTACTCCTTAGCCCAGATAAAGTCCTTTAGGTTCTTCAATGCTCGGAAGAAGGGGAGGAATTTGTCGCTCAATTGGGATAAGAACCAGCTAAGTGCGTCTAGTCACCCGGTAAGCCACTATACTTCTTTTATGGACTGAGAAGGTTACATCTCGATTATGGCATGGCCCTTCTCGGGGTTGACATCTATTCCCCTTCGATGGATGATGAAGCCAAGGAACCTCCTCGACCCGACTCCAAAGGCACATATGGATGGATTTTAGGCGCATATTAAACTTCTTCAGGGTTTAGAATATCTCTACCAGATCTACCATATGAGTGCATGATGTTTTGCTTTTTACTATAATGTCGTCCACATATACCTCCATGTTTCTCCCGATCTAATATTTGAATATTTTATTGATCATTCTTTGATAGGTAGCTCCCATGTTTTTCAACCTGAAGGGCATGACCTCATAGTAGTATACACCTTGGTCAGTAATGAAGGAGGTGTGCTCCCGATCCTAAGACGCCATCCTTATCTGATTGTAACCTAAAAATAAATTCATGAAGGTGAGGAGCGCATGCCTCAAGGTGGCATCCACCAATTGATCGGGAGTGGGTAACTATCCATTGGATAGACCTAGTTAAGATTGGTGTAGTCAACATGCATCCTCCAACTTTCATTAACTTTCTTAACCAGGATGACATTAGAGAACCATAAAAGATAATGGACTTTAGAAATGAACCCTTCTTCCAACAACTTCTCTACTTCATCATAAATTACTTGTTGGCATTCGAGAGCGAATCTCTAGGGCCTTTGCTTCACCGATCGAGTCCCAGGGAGGATATTCAAGTGGTATTGTGTGACCTCTAGGTCGATGCCCAACATATCTTTGGGTGACCAAGCAAAGATGTCGGTGTTTTACTAAGGAAGTCAATTAGCTAGATGTGGCTTTTCTCAGGGAGCACTGCTACAATCTTAATGACCTAGTAGGGTTGGGCTTTGTTAAGGGGGACCTTGACTAGCTACTCCATCGACTCAAGATGCGGAGGGGCCTTGTTGGGATCCCTAAGATCCATAAGTGATGCTTCAATCTTTGTCTTCTTTAATAGCGAAACTGTTATCAGATAGCACTACCTAGACTCCCAAGGGTTCTTACTTCACCAATGTTAGTCTTGGTTAGAATCTTCATTCACTATGTGATACGTTGACACTAATGCCCTCAACTGGTTAAGAGAAGGCCAGCCGATGATGTCATTGGAGGCTGAAGGGATGTCTCCCACATAATCTTGGTCGCTAGGGTCTTGGAGTGTGGTTGTTCACCAAAGGTAATATATAGGTTTACTATCCTGAGAGGGGAGATGGAATCCCCGATAAACCCGATCAACAATGTTGTCATCGGGGAGAGATCACCCACCATCAATCCCAACTTCTAGAAAGTATCAAAGTGGAGCACATCGGCGTAGCTACCCATATCAACCATGACCCTCTTCACCTAGGCGTTGGCCATCCTGACCGAGATTACCAATGTGTCATCATGTGTGGGGTCGAGGTGCTTAGCCTCTTCTTCTTCAAAAATGATTTTTAGCCTTCCTCATGCCTTGGGCACTTTTCTATAATGGCTTGGGCATAGGCCTTGCGTTCTGAGGAGTTGTCCCCCCTCAAGGTAGGTTCACCAAAGATGACATCCATCTGCTTCTCGACAAGGCCCTGGGGCCGAGGGGATGGTTCTTGGGGTTTGTAAAGGAACTTTCTGAGGTGGCTCCTTCATATAAGCTCTCCGATCTTGTGCTTAAGGTCACAATATTCCTCTATGTCATGGTTATAATCTCAATGGAAGTAACTATACTTCGATCTGTCCCTCTGCTCTAAGGGGGTTCTCTGGGGCATTAGCTCCTTCAAGAATCATTTTTTCCTTATTTGGAGAAAGATCTTCATCTTCGTTATGTTGAGAGGGATTGGCTCGAGCCTCGAGTGTGGTGCCTTGGGTCAGGGGTGTCTCCTCTACGACGAGCCTGAGGTTGGGGTTTGGGATAGTTCTTAGCGTGATATCTTGTGAGGCTCTTTGCTCTGGCCTGAGATCATGGCATTTACGATCACGTATTGGTTGGCACTTTGGAGCATTTTGGGGATAGTCATGGGTGGCCTCCTAACCAATGACTAGAAAAATCTTGAGGGTTATAGATCTTTTATGAAAGCTTGTATCACTAGAGAGGGGTGGGCGTTTTGGACCCCTTGGATCTTATTGGCAAAGCAAGAGAGGGGCTCGTCCTCCCTTTGCCTTAACCCGAGCAGCATGGACGTTGAGGGCTTCATGCACACATTAGTAAGAAAATGAATCTTGAACTCTTTTACGAGCTGGGCAAAGGAGGAGACCGAGAATAGCTTCAGGTGGCTATACCATTCTCGGGTCGAGCCCCTTAATGTCATTGAGAATACTCGACACATTAGGGTGTTCGACATACTGTATAAGGAAATATAGGCTCTGAAGGCTATAATGTGCTCCATTAGATCAGAGCTACTGTCAAATGCCTCTAACTTTAGGAGGAGGAAGTTGGCTAGAAGAGGTTCCTTTTGAATGCTTTAGACGAATGGAGAGCGACTTGAAGCATGGTTATAAGCTTCTACCTTCAAGTGCTAGAACTTGTTGGGAAGGAAATCTATGAGAGCATTACATGTACAGTAAAAAAATAGAACAGAAATCAATTTTTGAAAAACAGATTTATATTGAATAGTATGTGACGATTGAGAGCAAAAAATCGTGAAATAAAAAACTGCATAAGATATGAGATGGTCTCACCTAAGGGAATTTGTATATCTCTGATATATATATCTCAATCTATGGATAAAGGAGATCTTGTATTCTCCTCTCTAGCGATGATTCACACAGCGGATGAAGTGACGATGCATCTCCTCTTGCAACGCGTTCTTTCCTCGCCTTCGCGCACCACCACCACATAATAGGGGCAGTCCTTCTTGCTACCCTCTCGCACTATAGAGGGGATAGTCGGTTGAGAAAGAAGCATGGAGAGAAGGATAGGGGCGACGACTTGTGGGTCTAGCCTATGACTCATGTAGCCCAAACTCCTATTTATAGATGGCTCCTTCGGTTAACCCTAATGGATCCTGCCATAATGGATATTGGATCTCCATCTAATTATTTTGATTTTAAAGTATATTAGATTAGTATCAAATAACTATTCTAGGCTTTATTGGATCTCACCCAAGGATTCATTAAAATAGGGGCTCATTAGATATGTCATATCCAATCCTCTATTCGTCACTTCATCTACCATATGTGTGTTCCCTCTAGGCCCTATATCGAGCTAATAATAAGTTGCACCTGTTAGAACTCCTTTTAACTTAAAACTCTTTTCGACTTAGTGAATTATTATCCACATAATAATTCACTCAATTCATCAACTATATATGTACTAGACTACTACGTCATAGTCCCCAAACAGTACAAGGGGATCTAATCCATTGGACTTGTCTACCTTCAGTTATCATGTATCTATAGTCCCTCATATATCTAATATCTCATAGATCATATATCGGGTATGGTGCTGTCAAGCCCATATAGAATCTACTCGAGTCTCGCTCTAATCAGATTCTCCCGGATAAACTCTTTCTTTCACAATCCGAATGACTATGGCAAGGGATTTTCCTGAGCGAAAACATACGAGACATTCCTCTCATGACACCAAGAGTGGATGATCCTCTAATAATTAATTGCCCTCATTAGGTTGGCTACCACTCCCGATGACCAGTTATATTATATCTGAAACTTCCAAACCTTTAAGTCTGCTATCAAATAGTGGAGTGCACATATATGACATCCTTGATGTCTCAAGTTTAAGGATCAAACACATAACTACGATCACAAAACCACTATATGATAATAAAATATTATTAACTATCTAATATTTCATGAGCGGATCATTTAGTGAACTCATTCTCCAATGAGCACCTGCATTATATCTCTAGTGTCCCTACACATGCAGCTATGAGACTAGTTACCTCCATCATATGGATAGGTATATAGTACACCGATCTATCCGATTTTCTCAATGTTCATATCAAGTAACCTATGATTGAGAATATTTATTGTCTATGTTTATAGGCAAATTGGTCTTATTATCATGATTTCATCATGATCTAATTCCCGTTGTATAGATTCAAAGACATCATAATATATTTATTATCTAATATAAAGTATGAAAATATCATAATAATAATAATCAAAAGTGTCAACACTTATGTGATTGACTTGCAGGGTACTTGTAACTAGCATAACTATGTTATGTCCTATCCAGGCATTGGTTGACTTGGCAAAGTTAGCCCTGAGTAAGTTCTCTATCGAGTTAACATATTGGGTTTCTAACTCGGGAAGGGCAGATCCACGACAAGGGGGTGTGCTAAATTCTACTATAAGGGACAATGGTGCTCCAAGTGACACTTTAGTCTATCGGGAATAGTCTAGGGCAATTGGTTGTGGATCTGTTGGGAGGCCCCGAGAGGTGCAGGAGTAAGTGAGGGCTAGACCATCGGTCGTAGTGTTGGAGGTGGGGTTGACTATTGGGTCAGTTGGGATAGGAGAGGAGCAATGGCCTACATCATTCCAACCAGCACCTATACCTTATGTGTGAGGCTTAGAAAGGCCTCAGCAGAGATGTTCAGGTGCCCCGCATTTGATCCTAAAGGGAAGAGCCCTAGGTCGTTGAACTGACACCAATAGTGCCCTGGAGTTTGTGTTGAATTGGAGGCGTATAGTTGTGGGAAAGAGGGTAGTTGTCCTCTCTATCCGAAGGCACTATGTGTAGGCGATGGCACTTCTTCATTGAAGTGCTCGTTGAGGGGGTTTGCAGGTGAATACTCTTATGATATTCGGACCCTTCCTTTAATGCTAAAATATTGTTACCTTAATATTATTGATGAGAGAGTCAACACGACTTGATTCGATCCCATGGATAGCTCGGTCGTTATAGTGGAAAGAAACCTAATTGATGTAATCCAGAAAAAAAAAAAAAAAAAAAAAAAAGGAGATGAATTCCACCGTCAGAGATTAATACTGCCAACGATCGAGCTCGCAAACATTTTCCAAAATCGTGATCAGCAAGAGGTAAAAGATCGCTTCCCTACAGCTCACTACAAGGAAGGGAACACGTGTGGGCCCTTCTACCATTGTCATTGCCTAGGTTGCAGCGGATGGTTGGGTGAGTCAGCATGTCAAAATGTTTTGACGTCACCTTATTCTCAATCACCGTGGGACTCGCATCTTCATTATTATGAACTCATCCCTAATTTTTTATCCAATCATGTCTTACGTAAGATCGATTTGAAATGGATCGAATTGCTCGGGGGGTGGGGGTACCACGTGCAGCAATCGTGACTTTAGTAACACCAACCCAAAGGCAGTGCGACGGGAGAGACCGCTCAATTTTGAATTTCGTGTTCTTGCTAACGTGTTTGTGGAAGAGGAAGGTAACCTTTTGAGATCAGGAAGAGCGGATGGAGGAGGAGGCATCGATCGCAGCAGCAGAGGTGGAGTTGGTGGTGGCGGATGTAGACCCGGAGACGGCATTCTTGCAGAAGCAGCGGCGGCGGCTGCGAGAGGCGGAGGTGGAGGATGGAAGCGCAGTGGCGACGGGTGGGTTTGAGTGGGAGGTGTACAAGGAGAATGTCCGACCTTTGAAGCGCGGCCGCAACGTGAAGCTCCTCAACCACGCCCTCCGATCCCAGGCCGACCGGCACCTCAAGGCCTCCCTCCTCGGCACCCGCAGGCACTCCTCCCTTACTCTTCTCCCTCTCCTCCACACTTTTCTCTCGTTCTCTTCCTGTAGAGATCTAGATGGGTGCCGTCTGAATGGTTCGCCTTTTCTGTTTTGAACTCTCGATAATCCATCAGGAGGATGATAGAGGCCATCGATGAGTATCAGGGCGAGGATCCTCTTCAGCCGTGGCTTGAGTAAGCGCTTCTCACCTGGCCAGTTGTGCTACTTTTCTGTAATTAGGATTGATATTGATCTGCACATTTCTACTTTATCTTCCTCCATCGGATCTAAAATTAAGGTGCATAAAATGGGTTCAAGAATCATTTCCCACCGGAGGAGAGTGCTCCGGGTTGGTCGTGATGTACGAGCAATGCGTGCGCACCTTTTGGCATGACGAGCGTTATCGGGAGGACTTGCGTTACCTCAAAGTGTGGCTGGAATATGTGGGTGTCATTATCGCTTTCTTGATTCCTTTGTCTTTCTTTCCTCGCCTAATTGGTTAGAGCATTCTCTTCTTCACTTCTGTCCTTTGTGACTTTGATGGATCGTGATTGCTCCCATAGGCCGACCACTGTGCTGATGCTGAAGTGATATTCCAATTCCTGGATGCAAATCAGATCGGACAAAACCATTCAATCTTCTACACGTCCTATGCCATGCACCTGGAGGCAAAGAACAGGTTGAGAAAGGCTGACGACGTCCTCAATCTCGGTTTGTCTAGGTAAGAGCCTCCTGCAACACTTTCAATCGAGATATAGGATCATTAAATTAAGGGGGGTTCATAGATGTATCTACTTCACCAACTAGATTTGTTTATTTCTAGTTGAGTAAATCTCAAGCCTAAATTTGTCTTGGTTAGACATGGCTCAAGCATTAATCCTTGATCTAAGGTCAATACTTGGCTGTAAAATCCATCTTACCTTCCGGGGTCGTGCATATTGATGGAAAAGGTCTAAGATGACAAAACTCTTTGAGGAAAAAATGTCCTTTGAATATATTTTGATTAACACAAATGAATTAGTTTGGACTGGATGTCAACATATAGATAGCATATTGTAAGTGTTTGTTGGTTTGTTTTGTGTCTAAGATAGTATTTTAACTTTGTATTGTAGGAAGGCAACACCACGGGAGAAATTAGAAGCTGCATACAGGGAATTTCTCATCCGTTCATCACGAAAAAAGCATGGCAATGAGGCAAGTTGCGTTGAATTTGATCGAGGGTCCTTTTGTTCCTCATATACTTATTCTCCTTATGTTTTTTTTTGTATAGGACGATCTGCTAGATAATCCCTTGCCAATGCGGAGTTTTGGAACTGTTTTAACTTCAGCAGAATCAAGTAAGGAAGCTTAGTGTTTGATTGTGTATCATGTGTACTGCTTACCTATCTTTTAATGTGCCAGGAAGACAGACAGCAGAAAATTTGGTCTTTTCTAAAAGGATGGCCACTCTACAGAGGTAAACTACTTCACTTTTAGGAGCCAAAGTCGGGGATTTATGAGGTGGACATGGTTTTCCGTGCTATGGTGTAAATGAGGAAAGGCATTGCTAATTATCCAGATGTATAATTGGAAGTTCATCACAGTTTGTGTTTATGCTATGCTTGTTTCCTGCATTCAATAATGCCGATGTAATGATCTAACTGTATTCTGCCTAATTGCCTGTTAATTATTTATATATTCTAGATAATTCCACTTTGTGAATAGAACATATTGTTTTCTCCACTACCGAAATTGATACTATTAATGACTTATCCATGTTTGTTTCCACAGGGTTGATACCAATAAGCACCTATCTGTGTACAAGGATGCAAATTCTGGGACAAATTATCACCTCCCGAACTTAAAGAAAAATGAAATGCCATGGAATACTTTAGGATGCCGGTCTGATCGAAATAAGGAAAATGCTTCAATTCCAACCAAATGGTCATCATATAAGGTCTGTACCATAACTTTCAAGTCAATCTCTCTTTATTCTTCATAGTTCACTGTTGTTATTCTTGAATAATATTGCTACTCATGGTGTCAGATCCCTCAAAAAATAGGACACAGTGCAGGTTCAGCAACATCAAGTGCTTGTATTGAGGTGTATGTTGATGAAGAATGCTCAGAGTATGTCATCCAAAGTTTTAACCTTTGCATGCATGTGAAAAGCTTTACCCATTTTCATAGCTAAAATTGATACTTCTGGGCAGAAAAATGCATCCTTATCAATTGCTAGCAGATACTTCATGATGGTTTGTATTTGATTAAGTTAAATCTCTGAAGTCAGTAATCCATATTACTATTCGAAATATAATAATTTGGATTTGCATGGACATGACAGTTTAGAACATCAATACAAGCAATTAATAATTGTGTTTGATTATTGACAGGATATTCTATATCACTCACTATAAGGACAGGGTTTATGTTTCTTCATCTATATTCATCTAATGTGCAATATAGTGATTATATTATTCATGTGAAATCGATTATTATTTGAAGGTGTCAGCTAGCTTGGTTGGAAAAGACCTTAATAGTTTATTATAAGATCCTGAACTCGAATCCTACCCTCACTATTTACCCTTAGTTAAAAAGAAAAAGGTATATATCATGTGAATCAACTCTTTCCCTGCTAATTCCATTTTGTTTTTGCATCAGGTTGCCATTAGTTCAAGTTACCAAGAACCCAAAATCTTCCATATTGAAACTGAGGCAAGCAACTAGCCGAAACATAAAGAAGTAAGAAATCCACAAGTTTTGAATTGTTTTTAATATATGTACGTATATTATCACTCAGCTTGGTTTTGCTTCATCACTAACCTCTCTGACTTGAACAGGGAAACAGAAATGCTTAAAGCCAATCCACTGCGCAATTTTCCTCCGAGTAGTCTTAGATAGTATCCCCAGAAACCTACAGTTGCATTTTCTTATGGTGTGGGCTGGATTTCTTTCCCCAGGCTATAAATTTGGCGTTGATTGCGTTCAGATGTGTGCTGCAAGTTTTAAACGGAGATTTCCTGCATTTGAACTACATGAATTATTGTCTTTTCGTGTCCAAGCAGCTTTTTCCTCCAAAGCTTGCACTGATGCTGTGGAAACATAAGAAATTTATGTTGAACTCCAGATAAGAAATTTCTCGATGAAGTGGTATGTGGTGCTAGCTTATGGATCAAATTGTCATGACAGTGCTTGCGACGTAGTTGAAGTCTGTAGTTGATGTGAGAATTAAATGTCGTGTGACAGTTTATTATCGCATATTGTAGCGGATAATTTTATCATCCCATCGCAGATGTTATCCATAAAATGCGTCATGTAAATGTATTGGATTTCAGGAGTTTCACATTTTCGAAGGATAAATTGTGTCTTCGTATTTTGTTGGGTGATTTTCCTAAAAATGATCCTCTTTATGAGTTATTTTACAAGTGTCCATGTTTTTAATTTTATTTAAATGATACCTCTTTTCCTGTCCTATAATTATTCATCGTCGTTTGCTGTCTATTATAATCATCAATAATTTCTCTCTTAACATAAATTAATTATTATAAATGATTTATTATTTTATTATTAACTTTTGTTATGGAAATGATTAAATTTGATTTTCTTAATCATTTGAATAAGTTAAGAGTTTTATAATTAATTAAATTATTAATTGATTTATTTCCTAATGAATGATTTAATTTTTAGAAAGTAAATAGTTTATATTTTATTTTCGTGGGAAAGTAAAATAAAAATTAAATTAAATTATAACTTACCTTTTGAGGAGATCTCATCTTCTCCTTTATAAATTGGACTACTCCTCCCTCATTTCTCATCGAGCCTAATAATAAGAGGATTGAAGAGAGGATTTCGATGATATCGAAAAAAGGATAGTTGAGGAGAGATAAGATCCTTTCTTTTTTAATTAACTTTGATTTATATTTTAAAATCTTGATATTGAGATTTATATAATTTTATGATGCATAATGATGTTTTAATTTTGAAATTTTATGATTAACAAATAATAACTATTCATTTGTGATGTTAGAATGATTATTTGATTTATATTGATTTCTTAAGCTTAAGTGAAGTTTAATATTTATTTAATTATTTACTTTTTATTTTTAGATTAGCATAATAGTTCTTATTTATTTAATTAGATATATCTATGTTTCAAAATTATGTGTGAATTTTTATAATATAATTAGTTTTAAATTTAAGATCATGAATTAAAAATTTTAATTAATGAATTTGAATTATTCTTTAATAATTTTATATGTTGAAATATGATTTGATAACAAGAGTCTAATTGGGGTTTGACTTGAGTCAAGTTGATCTGTCAAACCAGATCAACTCAGCCCGCGTGCTCATGTACGACCTAGCCCATGTGGCCAAGTACAACTTAGCTCATGTGACTCGGCATGACTTAACCTATGTGACTAAGTAGGAGCCAACTCATGTGGCAAGGTACGAATGACCAAGCATGATCCAACCATATGACTAGGTACGATCTAGTCCATGTTGCCATGTATGACTTGGCCTATGCGGTCAAGCATGGGCTAATTTATGTGACTAGGTACGACTCAATCCATGTGGTAAAGTACAACAATAACTCATGTGTCTATGTACATGACCAACTCGCAAGCCAAGAATAACTTAGTTTAGTGGTAAAGCTCTGCCCAACTTATAAGTGAGGCTTAGCCTAGTCCATGAAGTTAAACCTACCAAACTATGTGATTAGCATTAGACACCTCATCGCTCCTCTATCTAGCATGTTGTCCCTCAATTCAACATATTACTAGATCAGGCATGTGCAGTGCATGTGATCCATCTAAGACTCGAGTGGATTGATTCGGTTTGAGCTAACATTATATGACATAGTCCAATTTCCTCTCTCATTATTGATTTGAGCTCGTTAAAAGACTAAATCAAGCATGTTTTGATCAGTTAAGACCGATTTAGGGTGATTCCAAACTAACTTGACTAATTCAAACCTACTTGACCTAATCGATCGAGATTAATCAAATCCAAATTAGACTAGTCTATGGTGATTCTAGACCGGTTCTGTAAAGATTTGAGGTTGGTTCTGTTAGGTCATAATCGAATTGAGTTTGGTTTAAGTCAATTGAGCTATTTCAATTAGGGTTTTGGTTAATTGAGGACTATCGAGAGATTGATGTTTCATGCATTTATGATTTGATGAACTTAAAGGTTTATGATTCGATGAATTTAAAGGTTTTATCTGAAGATTTCATTTAAAAATAATTATTGATTTTTTACTTTTCTTAAGTTTATGATATTGATATAATTGTTATCACGAAGTATATATAACTAAGCTAGTAGTTCACATTGGAAATGTAACTTGTGAAAGGAGTCGTGGCCCATTACAGTGCGGTGCCACCAATGAATATAGTCTAACATATTTACATCAAGTATGGTCACTCATAATATTTAATCATATTGATTTCTTAATATATACGTAAGTGAATGGATGAGTGTAAACGAATGATCATGAATATTTATGAATCTCTATCGAGAGTAAATATAGTGATTCCCTTCGGGGATTAGTGGACCATCAGACGTGATAGTTACACGATTCCTTCATTCATTGTTGGGAGGAACGTGTTCCCACTTGGGTGGGTGAAGGATACCACTCCATCCGTTGTTGGGAATACGATATAGATTATCTCCATCCACTGTTGGGAGGAATCCATCCTATGAAATACGTCTCTTCATCCGCTATAGAAAGAGTGCACCATTGTGTGTGATGTACGTTTTTATTATTTAGTTATTATGTATGTGTTGCATGTGGTTGATGCATGATTTTATTTATTATGTAAGAAATTATTATCGTTTTTCTGATGTATCGATATATTATCGATTTTTATTTATATTATATAAATATTGAAGATTATTTTTATATTTTTTTGAGGTTTCGTTGTTGATATGCTTTTATCTTATATTTATTTTTAGAATAATCTATTAGTTTGTAATATATCTTAAACTTGATTGAAAGATACTCGTGCAAACAAGGATTTGAATTCAAAAAGGAAAAACTAAATTATGGATAATAAAATATTAATTTGTTATTATTTTTATAAATCTGGGATGTGACACCTATTGTCTTCGTCTCGTAAGGCTCATCATGACACCCTATTACAAGGTCCAGCTAGCTTGATGACACTCATCTTACTAAATATCTTACTAAATGCCTTTCTCCACTGGTTGTACTTTCACCTCATTTTACCCTTAGGATCCCCTTCATCGTTGTATGCATTGACCACCGACCGCAATGTCACCACCTCCATCCCAGTGACACCATCACGGAGCACACCTTTGAACACCCCCACCCCACACTCCTCCTTATGCTCTCAATGCTAGCTTTGTGCTTGCACCCTCGTCTGACGCCTCCTCTTTTGCCCTCATCCATTATTCTCATGACACCATCCTCTTCGAGGATTATCTTGTTTTGATGTTGTGAGAGCGATGGAGGTAAAAGTCAATGCAACATGGGCATAATCGATGGGGTGCTCGAGCAAGGGATTGGACAATGTCATATGCTCGAGATAAGGAATTGGTTGATGAGCCATGTAGGGGAGAGTGGAGGTGAAGACATGTCGTGATCACTTGCTTCCCCTCTTTGGAGGACGATGATTACAATGGAGGTAAGAGCTTAGGCAATGTGGGTGTGATCGATGAGGGCTCAGGTGAGAACCATACGGTGGGGTCATGTGGGGAAGGAGGTAGGAGAAGTCCCTTGTGGTCGTCTTCTTTCCTTTATTGGGGTTGACGATCTGGGAGGAGGGAATGGAGGGCTCGCATTTTCTCTTTTGTTGCTATATATATATATATATATATATATATACCACATGAATGTCTTATAAGTATCTTATTCAAAATTTTTCTAAGAATTTGAGATCATTTTGAATAGTGCATCAACGCAATGTACTGTTTTTAAAATTTTCTCAACAATAATGCATCACCTGGGAAAAATTTTCTCTCGGTCAAATTTTCTTGCATATATTGTAGACTTCTTTAGAAACCCAAATGTGAAAACATATTACATGAATAAATTATAATTAAAAAAAAATAAGATGAAAATAATAAATTACTCTAGATAAGTATTTTTCTTATAAAGAATACTTAAAATATTAATAATAAAATAATAAATTTTGAGAATACTATTTAAAATAGTAAACATCAATACGACTCTATAAGCTTAACTATACAATAAACTAGAAGTTCGGATATCCTAACAAATATTTCTATAAAAATGAAGACATATCTTAAAGAAAACTCTCGAAGCTCTATTATGAACAATATGACAGGGACGGAATATAATCCTAAACATAATGAAGCACGAAGTTAATGGACCGAACATAAACTCAAAGAAGTTGATATCATCGATGGCAAAACTTAACATTTGTAAATGACATAGGAGGTTGAAATATACTATGATAACTACGATGGAATAAAAAGAAGGCAACACTGATTTAAGTTAAATCGATTTTTTATTTGGTTTAATCTTATGTGAACCCAAGTGATTTTTCAAAGTTAATATTATATTTTTAAAAAAATATGAGTTCTGTTTGGATATTTTTAAAATATAGGTGTTCTAAGTCAATTTTTTTTAAATTCATCCTATATATATATATATATATATATATTGCTCTGATGATTGTCTCTTTTGCGTCCAAAATAAGAAGGGGTATATGTCAGTGTCAAAATTCTGTATCAGCTCTGCGTACTCGCTGTGGGTAGTACGTACGCTCACCTTTCATTTCAGTCTATGTTCCAGTAATACACCGCATCGGGATTTGAGCTCCATATTCCTTTCGTTGTATTTACTCCATTATCAGTACCAAAGTTGTATGGTAATAAATTAGATTTCCTTTTTATCATATTACTTAATTAGAATATAAATCGGATTCGATCTCACACGATTTGGTCATACCAAACCCACAGATACGGCTCGGCTCAATTTGACGTATTTTGTTACGGATGGACTTGTATCCACCGTATCGGACCCAATTTGGTCAACGCGACGTGACTCCTCCCACGCAACACGGGTGATGCTTCTCTTCCTCGATACGCCTCCGTTAAGGCCCTCGCCCATTGACGTCGGATCTCATCCGCCCAACGACGCGGGCCCACCGAGCCCTACGTCGTTTGGGCTGCGCGCACAAGCGACAAAGAATTGGAGGACGCCTTTAAATTTGAAACCGTTTTACACTCCCGACATCCCCACCGCCTCTCTTCGACTTCCCCCGTCTTTTCTTTTCTCTCCCTTTTCTCCTGCTTCCCCGTCTCCGGCGAAAAGAAGGGTTTCCCCCGCCTCCCTCCCTCTCTCGTCCTCTCGATACTTATCTCCTACGGAGAAGCGTGTTCTCGGCCGGGAAGGTATCTTCGTGTGCGTTCTTCTCTTCGAAATTCCGGTTTTTACCCCTTCTTACTAGCTCATCTCTTCGGCGCTCTACACTTGGATTTTAGGGTTCAACTTGGTTGGACGAGACAATGTAGAAGGACCTAAGATTTAGTTGGAGTTTCGCTGCCGTTTCGAGTTACTTGCTAAGTTTTCTTTCCCCTTCCCGTTGCAGAATACTGTGTGGCTTCTTCGGTGGTCTTGTAGGGTTATTCCGTGGATTGCGCTTTCAGTACGTGACACTTGGTGGGGGACAGGGTAGCATCGGCGAAGCGGATGTTGAACTTGAACGAGCTACCTGGCAATGACGGTGAGTGGGTTTGTTATGATCCTACCCTAGTTTTTCTGATGGCATCTTAATTTGTTAAAGGTTAGTTTTCTTTTGTGATTCAAATAGAGGGGCCTATTCAGTACGTGATGCTGACAAAGGATAATAAGCCTATTTGCCGCACCAAATCTTCCAATCTTCCATTTGATACGTAAGTTTTGTGTTTTTTTCCTTGTCTGACTTCTAGTTGCCTGTTTGGTGTTCATATTCTTTTTTTGAAGGAAAATTAAGAACCGAGTCTTTAAATAATTACTTGCAAAAAAATTAAAAATAGTCATTGTGTTATCAAGATCGTTAGAAGAGAAAAGGAGAAAAGTTTATAGTTTTATTGATCTAATTCTGGGTACATCATAACCCTATTTATAAGGCAAGAGAAAATCTAATCTATCTCATAAACTGAGAAATCAAGGGATGTCAAATCCCTTTTATTTGATAGGAATTAAGGAAAATATATGACGATCATATCAAGGGATATGAGATCCCTTTTAAATGGTAACTTTAACATGCCCCTGCAAACTTAAAGATGGTTTAGTAGAAACCAACTTAAGATTGGAAACTAAGAAGCTAAATTTGTCATGAGTCGATTAGGCAAGATTTTGATTGTGCTCAGCAATGGAGGACTGTGCTTAACGACGGAGATAAAAGGCTGTACTTCCCGCTTCTTGGATGGAGATGTTATGATTCTACCCTAGTTTTTCTGATGTCACCTTAATTTGTTGAAAGTTAGTTTTCTTTTGTGATTCAAATAGAGGGGCCTATACAGTACGTGATGCTGACAAAGGATAATAAGCCTATTTGTCGCACCAATGTTCCAATCTTCCATTTGATACTTGAGTTTTTTTTTTTCTTTCCTTGTCTCACTTCTAAGTTGCCTGCATGGTATTCATAATTCTTTTTTTGAAGGAAAATTAAGAACTGAGTCTTTAAATAATTACTTGAAAAAAAATAAAAAATAGTTATATAGTATTATCAAGATCATTAGAAGAGAGAAGGAGAAAAGTTTATAGTTTTATTGATCTAATTCTGGGTGCATCATAACCTATTCATAAGGTGAAAGAAAGTTTAATCAATCTCATAAACAAAGAAATCAAGGGATGTCAAATCCCTTTTATTTGATAGGAATTAGGGGAAATATATGATGATCATATTAAGGGATATGAGATCCCTTTTATATAGTAACTTTAACATGCCCCCTGCAAACATAAGATGGTTTAGTAGAAACTAACTTAAGATTGGAAAATAAGAAGCTAAATTTGTCGTGAGTTGATTAGGTTAGATTTTGATTATACTCAGCAATGGAGGACTTGCCAAAGATAAAAGTCTATGCTTCTGCTTCTTGGATGGAGATGTTGTGATCAAGAGGAAACTAAGAGGAAGATACATGATCTGTAGTAGACGAGGCACGCTGTGTGAGGGAGGAACATCATGCAGGGCAGATTAGTGATGAGCGAAGGAAGATCGTGGGCCCATGGGAGAGGGTCTTAGGTGACGACACGCTTGAAGAGGGCCACGTGAGGAAGATTGTCCTGAGTTAGAGAGAGGACCTTCTGTCACGAACGATCGTCGTGCATCCGCAACAACTTCATTCAACGAACCGTTCGTCGCTTTTGCATGCTTGTACAGAGACATGTCAGCATGTTTTGCCTTCGTTTTGTGTGTTTTTGCTTGGAAAATATAAGCAACAAAAGTTCGCAGCGTTGCAATACGACCCCTCGTTGCGTCAGGCCAAACTGCTCCAAAATGGCTCCGTTTTCGTGTGCCACAATATGTTTTCTGCAAACCGCAATTGTACGTAAAACGTCAACCATATTAGCACCCTGGAACCCCCCGGGTGGCACAGGGCTGGATGGGGCTTCGGTAAAGTGTCGGGCGTTGAACAATCTTCATAAGTTCACACGTTAATTTGATGGGAACTGCCTTCGCGTCTGGCACCCGGTGAGCAGTTGTTTGTGGACTTGCAATCGTTCGTTCTACCTTCGAAAGTCCTCGATTTCTCCTTTCTCTCTCTTGCTCTCTTGCACTCAAGGTGCTTGCTGAATTGCTTGTAAAGCTTCCCTCTTCGCGAGACGTTGGGACTTATCCGTCGCTCGTTTTCAATCCAATCAACTTTTTGTTCGTAGGTCCTTCGGGACCTGTACGAGGTTGTAACTAAGTTGACCTTTTGAGAACGCATATATCGCAAGGGCGCCTCATGACTTAGGCAATCCCAGCTAAGTCCGAGGAGTTGGCGTAATGGTGCTTCACGACTACTCCAGCTAAGTCCATGACTTTGTAGCAAGGGTGCCTCACGACTTAGGCGATTTCAGCTAAGTCCATGACATTGTGGTATCAGAGCGGGCAAGCAATTTGATCAAGCAGCGAAGAAACTTCGTAAACTCGCCATGGCAAAGCATCGTGGTGAATCGAGCAAGACGAGGCAAGCCGGACCTTTGCCCCAAGCAACCGCAAGCGGGCTGCAAGTGTAAACTCGCTCTCATGTTGGTGGAGCCGTTCTGGAGGATTGTGGCAGCGAACATGATTTGCGAGAAGTTGGCTATTCTCTGCAAGCGGAGGAGGCACAATCTGGAGCGCTAACCGGGAAAAAGAGCCATAAGGAGAGACTCATAACGGTGGAAACCCGCCTAGATGTTCTTGAAGCGAGCTTAGAGGAACTCTACCAAGGCCAACGAAGGCTTCTTAGTGTAGAGAGCTCACAAGAAGATGCTGTTTCCCGAATCGACAAGGTTGAGGTCCTAGTCGATCGATTGACGGACGATACTAAAGACTCTGTGCAATATTTGCACAAAGTCATGGCAGAACTCACTTCTAGAGTGACAACGCTCACAAGGGCACTAAATGCGGGAGGGAGCAACACACGCGTTGCGTCGCCACAAAACTTGAGGGCACCTGAGCCTCATTGCTATGGTGGTGCTAGGGACGCAAAGGAGCTTGAGAATTTTTTGTTTGACATAGAACAATACTTTCGAGCTACAAGGCTCAATTCTGAAGATACCAAAGTTTCAATAGCAACCATATATTTGAATGAGGATGCAAAACTTTGGTGGCGAACCTGTTGGGAGGAGATCCAACAAGGTTGATGTCGAGTGGACACATGGGAGGACTTGAAGCGGGAGTTGAGAACTCAGTTTTGTTAGAACCCTCCCTTGGAGATTCTAAACTTGGGGTTGATCTCTTTAGGGGATCAACCTCCTTGGAACTCTATAGGGGTTCCTCTCTCCAAATTGCTGCTTAAAGGCTGTAAAAAAGATTCATCTATTGCTTATCAAAAGAGGATGAATACATGACTATTTATAGGGTTTCTAAACTCTAACTCCTAATAGGACTCATACTCAAGACTCCTACTCAATTAAGACTCCTACTCAAGACTCTAGTAGGACTCCTACTCAAGACTCCTATTCCTTTACAACTCATAATTCTTCTATAAGAAATAACCTCCAAACCCTAGTCGGCATCTTCACCTCTTTAATAGGGGTCGATTTAGGTAGGTTTTGTATGAATGCTCCTCTCACTTAGGACTCTCCTAGCTAGAGTCCTAACAGACCCGCCCTCTTCAAATAAGCTTTGTCCTCGAGGCTGATAATTCATGAATTCTGGGAATTTGATCTTCAAGTCGTCATAGTTCTCCCAAGTGGCACCTTCTGCTGGTAAGTTCGCCCACTGTATTAGCATTTCAGTAGTGGGTCGTCGTCATCGAGTCACGATCCGTCGATCAATAATGACACTCGTGCAATGGTGGACACGGGCGGTACCCACAACTTTATTGTCGATCGAGAAGCAAAGCGACTTGGGCTGATCTTGGAGAAGAATCCAAGTCGGATGAAGGCGGTAAACTCGGAGGCCAAGCGGATCTCCGGACTGGCAAAGGGAGTCCCCATCAAATTCGGAACACGGAGCTGGAGCACAAACATGATGGCGGTGCCACTGGACGACTTCCAAGTGATTATCAGAATGGAGTTGATGCACGTGGCGAAATTGGTGCCAATGCCATTCTTGAACTCTATGTCTGATGGGAGGCGACGACCCCTGTGTGGTTCCCGTCTCTCGGAGTGGAATCAAGGACCCCCAACAAATATTGGCATTACAATTGAAGAAAGGGGTACGAAAAGGAGAGTTATCCTTCGTGGTTGCTGTGAAGCTAGAGCCACTCGACGGGGAGGCTATTCCTGAACCTGCTGTGGTGGCGAATGTTCTGAAGGAGTTCACAGAAGTTGTGCCACCTGAGTTGCCGAAAACTCTGCCACCTCGTAGAGGCGTGGATCATCATATTGAGTTAGAGCCGGGAGTGAAGCCTCCAGCGAGACCACTATATTGCATGTCCTCTCCAGAGTTGGCAGAGCTTAGAAGGCAGTTAGACGAACTGCTAAACAGTGGTCTCATCCGTTATTCCAAAGCACCATTCGGAGCTTAGAAGCTTAGATGGGAGCCTCCGACTATGCGTTGATTATTGAGCCCTCTGACTATGCGTCGACAGCACAGGAGCCGGTGGTTGAGGATCCACCGTCATTGACAAGACAAGCTGAGCGGAAGGAAAGGAACGAGGGCTGGTCGAGGGCAGTGGTGAGGTTGGTGGCCACGCGGATGTGGATGGGCAGAATCGATGATTGTTGCAGGCAGAGTTGCGATGGAGGGAAGGATCTGATCGCTGATTCATAGGACAGTGATGGGCACGCTTAGATCTGGGGATCGGACGGAATCAAATTGTTGATATGTAAGGAAACGATTTAGTGGTGCTGCTTGATGATGAAATCAACGAAATAGGAACATGCGACATCGATTCAAAACTACAGGGGAGATGGAAGGATTCAAAGATTCGACTTATGAAAGAGTGTCGCATGAGGAAGACTGCGAATCGATTGTATCCTGGTAGTAGCTTCCTCACTGGCTAAAGAATATCAGAATAGAAGCTTTGATACCATGTTAGAATAGAAAAAGGAGAATAGTTTATAACTTTAGTTATCTAATTGTGGGTATATCAGAACCCTATTTATAAGATGATAGAGAATCTAATCAATCTCATAAACTTAGAAATCAAGAGATGTCAAATCCCTCTTATTTAATAGGAATTGGGGGAAATATATGACTATCATATCAAGGGATATGAGATCCCTTTTATATAGTAATTTTAACAAAGATGTCAGAGTGCAGAATGTGCAATAAAAAAAATGACCAAAAATCCATTCGGCCAATATCCGTGTTTCCTTCTTAAAATTGGTTGCAATTGGGAATCGTATCTTCGTATTCCTATCACCTCACTAAATATACCTTCGATCCACTTTGGTGGAGCAAAAAATGCTCGAACCAATCTTGTTGTGCAAAGACGCCCGTCCACTGTTCATTACTTGATATCCAAGTGGAATCATGAGTCTGATACCACTTATTGGGAAGTGCTCCTTAAAGAAAGCACATAACAGGCAACTGATTTAGTAAGTGAACAGTGTCACAATAAAGAAACTTAAACTACCAGGCTATTGATTAAAACTAATGTACTAAGATAATTTTTATTTTCTTATTTATGTGGTATAATCAATCTTATACATCACCAACTGAGGTGTTGGAGCTTGTGTTGATTGCTTGACCAAGGATTTAGCACCATTTTTAATTCTTGTTTACTAGAATATATTTTGTTTTTTTAATGGTGAGAGGACAGCAAATTGTTAAGCTACTTCTTTTATATTCTTCTTTCAGCTCCTTGTTTTAGGAGCATGAGCAATTTATTTTCTTTTATGCATTTGACAGGCCTAACCTATGGCCAATTACCAAGTTTAGACCAAGCAAACCATTTCGGCAGTCGGAAATGCCTCGATGTAGATTGTACCCAGAACCAGAAGATTCTCACCAGAGCAGAGAATGGAAAACCTTCTTGCAATTTCTTTGGAAGAATGAGAAGGTAAGTTTTTTGTCATTTGGAATGAAAATAATGTTGTTTTGTAAATCTACTTATGTTAGTTATTGTATAAATTAGTATCCAGTATTCACTAATTAATTCCTATGAAGGTTGCAGTTGTGAATAGTGAGTGTTGCGATTTTTATCTACTTCCTTCAGATGACTGGCCAGAATCTACACATGCTGTTGTTCCATACCAGATGCGAATTTCACGTCCAGCATGTTATGAACAAGAAATTGCAACATCAGGTAAGAGAACTTGACAATATCTGTTACCTCTTTGATGATAAGATTCTGTCATCTTACGCAAGTGCATACTTAAAACTGTTCTATGCTGGACCTGACTTAGCCCTGTTGACATTTTTACACTGCCTCCAGGTGCTCAAGATTTTGGACTTGTTTACTTTGTCAGTTCATTTTGCTAATTCTTTTTTATTAATTCTCTTCTTTTTATATGCTTTTCTGCATAGCATGCAATGCTGAAATGTTTTAAACTAATATTTGTTATTTTAGTTATTGACTTAGTATTGACTGAGATATGCTGACCTCTGTATGGGCATCTGATTATCGATCTTTTATAAAAAGCAGTAGTTTGATCTTGGGCTTTACACAAGCAAATATTTTGGTTCTTCATATTCAGATAAAATCCATCCTGGAACCAACAGTACCATGAGAAATGTGGCTGAGAAATTCTGCAAAAGAGGATTTCTCGAGCAAGTACATCGAGTTCCGAAAATGCCTTCCTCTCCTGCAAAGAGAGTTGTGCACTCTGAAGAATTCAGTGATCATCTTGGAGAAGAGATAGCTGACAATGCATGTTCGAGTGTGAATGCAATTAATACTCTGCACCAAGAGAAGAGCTCTTTTCACATGAGTGATGATACTCACATAGCAAAGCTTCAAAGAGTGTCTGTTGAGCATGCTTTTACCAATTCACCAATGCCAAAAGTGCAAGATAATGCCCTTGCTAAAAATTTTGTGAGGACAGATCCAAGTTACTTGAGAACTCTTAGTCAGACTCATGCAGGATGGATTTTTGGAGCTATCGCTGAGCTTGTTGACAACTCTAGGGATGCCAAAGCGAGTAGGTAATTGGCCGCCCTTTTCTCAAAGCAATGGCAACTGCCGATTTTCATAATTCTTTATTACTTCTGTGGCTAAATGTATGCAAGCTACAGCTGTTAGATCTCAAATCACAAATTTGTTTTACTCTCTAGCATGGTTTGTCGGAAGGATTGGTACATAGCTATCAGGTATTTCGTGGTATGGACAATGACTGCTAACCATACATATAGCTCAGTACCCCTTGGAGTTCTTTTTTTAAAATCATTTTTCAGTGATATCGAACACACATGTTGTAGCTTGTGTCTCTGTTCCTTACTTTTAGATATTAAAACTGGTTTTTAACTGATGTTTGATTCAACCTTGAATACTTTTCCATGGTCACTTTTAGCATTCTGATAACTAATCGAAGTATTATTTACATATATATTTGTACCCTGAATTTTAATAAGAATGCTTATTTAACATTTTGCTTCTTCCTTTTCTGACTATGGAGAAGTTTGCTACCATTGTCTGCCATTTTGCGTTTGTTGTAATTTTGACAAAGTCTTCTATTAGCTTTGGGTCTAGTGTGACATTGTGGTGATTACCTAAACTTTGTTTTTAAAAATCTATAGAGCATGAGCTTTAATTTATATTTTTAAGAAAATTGACCTTAGATCTGGTGTGCATCTTATTTTTTATTAGTCTTGCCATATCAAATTTGTTCTTCCTTATGTTCATTTTTATGTGGAGTTCTTCCTTATGTTCATCCAGAACTATAATTGATTCTTCAGATTTTTTTTGAGATGTACCTTTTAGTTGGTAGATTAAGTTCTTTGAATTTCTACAGGTTGGACATATTCGTAGAGTATCTGTATTTTAAAAAATCAGGGGACAAAATTCCTGTTCTGTCAATTGTTGATGATGGACATGGTATGTCTCATACTGAAATAATGAGAATGCTTTCCTTTGGCCATAAACAGCCAGAAGAAGATCCAGATCAGATTGGCAGATTTGGCATTGGATTTAAGGTAGGTTATACTTTGTCAACTGCTTATTCCGTGAACTTCTTTACATAGTTTTCAAATGCGTCTACCCTGTCCACAGGTATTTTTCAGCTGCTATAGTTTGTCTTGATGGATAATGGGTTAGAACTTAGAAAGTATTCCAATAATTAGTAACCTAAGTTTGGGAATAAGCTCTGATTACCCTCATGGTCATGGTCATTTGTTATTTTCAAGTTTATGGAAACTTTTCTTATGGTTGGTTGATTGACTTGATTCATCTCCTTCAACCATATCTACAGGGCCGTAAGATGTTTGCATAAAACCTGCTGCAAACTGTTGTTTTATTCTTTTAACTGGTAGAAGATTGTTGTTCTAGCTTTTTATAGCTGTTGATCATACTAATGTTGAATGTTATCAGAACAGAGATATAGAAGTCTCGACAAATATTTTTCCGATGATGCATGGAGAGAAAGTAAAACCATAATCTGTACTTTTTTATGTTGTTTATTTCAAATTTCAACATGCTTCTTTTATAGAATAGCTCCATAAGTGGTACGATATGCTTGTTGCAACTTTGACATTTGTGCACCCTTTTTCCTGAGACTCTGCCTCCTAAGAATAAATATGTCTGCTTGTTTGTAATGGATCTGATGCTGCCTGGGAACTAGTAACTTGTTTATATCCTGAAGAAGGTGATGCACTCTCTTGTAGTCTCACCACTGCAATGAGACACCTAATTTTTTAATTCTGTGGGTTTGTTTTGGGGAAATGTAGAATTTCTTTGAGGGCTTTGCTTATGTTCCAATTTTAGTGATGCATCTGTTTTTCATATTTGACTTTACTTTTTATTTTAATTTTATCACTATGCAGACTGGATCTATGAAACTTGGTAGAGATGTCCTTGTTCTCACGCAAACGTCCTCCTCCAGATCTGTCGCTTTGTTATCTCAATGTTACAATGAAAACAAAGAAGTAAGTTATTTTGATTGCTCTTCTGTGATTGTGATGGTCTCTTCATTATTTCAATTATTCATATGTGTTTTTTGTAGATCCTTGAGATTCCAATCATCACATATTCAAAACAAGGGCGCTATATGGAAGTTGATTTATGTATCCAGTCAGAAGAATGTGCAGCCTCCAACTTGAATGCTGTAAAGGAATTTTCTCCTTTTAATGAGTATTTTATTGGTGAGAAATTTGGTCCATTTGGTGAAACTGGGACAGGAACACAGATTTACATATGGAATTTAGATGAATGGGGTTCTAACTACATTTTGGAGTGGGATAATGCAAATAGTTCTGGTAATACACAGCAGAGCCGAGGGGATATATTAATTCGGTCTCGGAGAGTAAGATCACGTCCAGGACAAATTAGCCAGAAGGTTGTTCATTATACTCCTTAATATGCCATTGTTCTTTAACTAAGTTGATTTATGTTATATATTTTAAACTGATTAATGTGAAGATTTAGGATTCTAGATATATATATTTTGTAATGTTTTATTTTACAAGTGCATATAGATAAGATTGCAGGGTGTTCCATTCGATTATATATGATCTTGCAGTGATGCACCTGCAAAAATTGTTTATGTATTGCTGGTAGTTTCTCTGTTCAATGAACATATTCTTTTGACTTATTCTCTTTCTTTACTGTTTATATTTTGGTTATATAGGTGCCATTGGATTATTCACTACAAGCTTATTTGGAGGTTATATTTTTTAATCCTCGAATGAAGATTTACGTCCAAGGCTCTCTGGTAATTGTTTGCATTGCTTGGTTTCTAGTGGTTTTATGCATACTTATCTATGGGCTATAGACCTTTTATTTTTTACTCTGCCAGGTTAAAAGCCAGCCATTGGCGAAATGCCTAAATAAGACTGTTCAGGTACTTGGCCAAATCATGGACAGAGAAGTTCTACTGACACTAGGTAGGAGTAAGGTAGAATGGGAAAGAATGAACTGTGGAATGTTTTTGTATTGGCATGGCAGACTAATTGAGGTTATCTCTAGCTCCTGCTTTATTCATTTTATCTTTATTTATTATGAAGGCTACTTTTCACTTTATATTTATTATGAAGCACGAAAAAACATTGTAGAAGCAAATTTTAGTACTCAAGTTGTGGAAAGAGATAGTGACAAAGTTCTTGATGTTAAAACTGCAATTAGGTTTTTTATAATAAACTGATTTTAGACCCTTGACTTAGAAATGATCTTTGTAGAGGTGGCAAGAAAAAGTTGCAGCACAAGATCTGAAGTTTTAGGCTATTATTTATCATTTCTTGTCCAATATTACCTGTGACTCTAGTTTCATAATGTCTTGTTGTTTCAAGGGATGTTTGATATATAGCTTTGTGTCAATGTTATTATGTTTATGGTCATTGAATATGAATGCTTTTCATTTTCTGATCCAGGCTTATAAGCGAGTTGGTGGGCAAGTACATAATGCGGACATGGGGCGTGGTGTTATAGGAGTAATAGATGTTACAAATCTAATGGTATGATTCCTATGTGGAATACTTTCTCTGAATATTTCTATGAGAATTAGACAAGATGCTATTATATTCATTCATGCTACTTGGTGTTTATAATCTTATGAATATCTTGCATGTCGATCTCTGTGTGTGTTGTGCAGGATGGTGGTAATGGAGGTGCCTTAGTACTTAATAACAAACAAGGGTTTCAAGATTCTGAAGTATATGCTAAATTGGAGGAATGGCTGGGAGTAAAAGCAGATGAATATTGGGATAAGAATTTTGACATACTTGATGTGGTATTTTTTTTTTCAGAATTATGTTCCTCAATCCCTGAGTTTCTGGTAGTAGTACTTGTTCATATCAATTTCTAATTTCTGAACTGCTTGAGAAAATGATAAATATTCTTTTTCGAGGTTGTATGCTGTATGCACTCAAATGTGCTTTTTCAATAATTTTTTATGTTCACTTAAAAAATCTGTTGTTAGTTTTTCACTATAATTTATCAAGATATTCTTTTAGTGGAAATTAAGGCAGATATGAGAAATCAATCAATATGTCTATAATAGAGTGATACTGAGTTGGTCCCCATCTCAGGAATTCCATATTTAATTTGTGGGTTAATGGCTTCAGTGATACAGCGGATCCCAGGAACCAGGTCATGCTGCTGCAATTTTAGTTGATTTAAATGCAATTTAGGTTTGGAGTCATCTAGTATTCTAGAGCTTAATTCAACTCATGCAGGTTTTTTTTATTAGTTTCTTTAATGTAACAGTTGATCTTGTTATTCTTTTTTTGGTTTATTTTAAATAATCCTAGAAGTGACAGGTTCATTTCCTTTATTCAATTAGAAAGATTTTTTGTCATGTTGTGGAACAAGTTTTGTTAGTTTTAAACTTTTAATTACCTTCGAGATATATGCTGAGTAGTTTTTCAATACTGTCCAGCAATGACTTCAAAGGCATTCTCTATTCGGGGTAATTTTAGGAGTAAAATTGTTAAACTTCAAGGTAAACTACTGTTTTGCAGTGAAGTTTAATTGTGTAAATCGGGAGTCAATGGGGTGCCGACCAACTTATGATTAACTATTGATAACATATGGATAGAATATTCTCTTGTATGGTGGGTCACATGCTACAAGCCTTTTGTTTCATTTTCTGCCATTAGGTGGATTCTGTAGGTCTTATTTTTTTGGTACCTTTTTTTTCCCTGTTTTGACTTCTATTTTTTACTCTCATACTTTCTATTATGTTTAAAAATTTATAGTTACATGTAACAGGGACATCATAATTTCATCTGTTATTTTTTTATTTGAATCAATAATTGAACTTTTATTTTTTTTTACGGGAATCTAGAAGAGAAAACCACAAGAGCATTAATGTTAATCTAAATTAAACAACTTCTTTCTTTCTTTCCTTTCTTCTGAAGAAGTTTTATTGCTCCAGAGAAAAGTGGATGAACGCTATAAGCCTGATCATGATTGGGTTCAATGCAACAAATGCCGCAAATGGAGGATTTTGAGCACTGACTTCGATTGTGAGAGCTTGCCCCCTGAGTGGTTTGTGTCTTGTTCCTTTTTCACCTTTTGTATTACGTGAGGATGATATTGTTCTGTGCAAAATGGTTATGCAATTATAAATAGTCATTACGAAGTATAAGTGAAAAAGGGCAGGCCCAGTGTGCTACGCTCCTGCCAATGTAGCGTTGGGTGAGAATTGATTTATGCAGCCGTGTCATATCTTTGCAAACAGAAAGATTATTTTCATGACTTGAACCCTGGTCACTCAAGTCATAAAGGAGCCTTGACACTGTAAAGGCTCACCCTGACTATAAAGTATAAGCGGATTTCCTGAAATCAATTTAGGGTGAATAGATTGTGCTTAGTATTTGTGTTGACATTATCATGATCAAGCTTCAAAAATGCCTTCTAGATGGACGATTGTGATGCCTTGCAATAAGGTGCAATTGTCATTTTCTTGTGATGCCTTTTATTATTTCGTGCATGGATGTCTCTGGCTCCTGACATGTTTCATTTTATGTGTTATATTTTATTAATAATCTTCTTTTCAAAAAGGTTCTGCTATATGCCACCATTCAATGGAAAATGTGAAATTCCTGAACAACAAGTTTCACGAGGAGTAATCACAATAGCTGCCAAGCGATCTCATCATGAAGTCAAGCAAAATGTCAAACAACATGAAGGAGAAACACCAAAGGTAAAAAAATAATATGAAGCAAATATATAAATTTTGGATGCTTCTCTCAGCTTTTTTTTTGTCCCCCTCTGATAACAACATTATTCAGAAGAACAAAAATTCCTCTTTTACCAAAAATAACTCAAAGCAACACCCAGATGGTACTGCACTCAAGGTTAAGAGATCTTCTGAAGGTATGTATCTTCCTTCAGAATATAACAAATGCTGTATTTGTAAGCTTTCATTTTCTAACTAATTGTTCGAGCTTGAGTGAATTTGTGCTTCGGTACAAGCTGTAAGTTTCTAACTATTTGGTGTTAACTACATGAGTTTTTTCTCATAATTAGTCTTTGTTGAGGGCAATATTGCTAGTCAAACTAAGAACTATATTCTTCCTTTAATATAGAATTTTAGGTTTTTCTGTATTATTCTTGCATTGTAAATTATAATTGACTAATGCCATTTAACTGGTGCATCTGTTGGTCTCTTTTGAACAAGTTCGTGCCACCTTAATTGATTTTGCCCATTTCAGATCAATCAAAATGGCTAATTGTTCATGAATGTACATTTTTTTATAATTTACAGCAGGTGGTCTGATTTATATTTGAATAGTTGCTGATCTTTTGTCATGATTTTTATATGTTTCAGTCCAAAGTTCTTTTTCCTTTATTTAGTAAATATATTAAAGTTCGTCTGCACATGGTAGGTTGCATAAGCATGGCAATGCTGATCTCCTTTTGGGTATCCGCACTTTCCTGACTTGTTTATGCCAGCTTAAATTAAGGTGCTCATTGGTCTTGCATGGGTATAGGTAAGAAAATAGGTATTTGAGTTGGGTTTAAGAATGAGTAGGATGAAATTCACAAGTACCCATCTGTTTCCATTCTTAGATTTGATTAATCTACATTAGTGGACTTGTTAGTCAGGTTTGGAATGGGTATGAGTAGGAGAATATGTATCAAAGTCTAGTTTGGGTACTTGGTTGGATCTGAGAGTCAGTAGGGTGAAATTTGTATATACACTATTTGTTATTATCTCAACGCATGTGGCATTTTCCATGCAAGCGATGGAATGCCTTCCTAACAATAATTATTAATGTTCTCTGCTCTGGTTGCATATCTGTTCCCTCTTTATTTTTCTAAAATATATGCTAGATACTACTTTAATATAGTCGTACTGAATGCTGCTTCCTTTTAAGTGTAAAATTACAATGTCAGAACCTATTTGTTTTTCATTTTCCATTATCCTGTTAGACATGAAAATGGAACTTGATGTTGGGATTCACTTCATATATCTTAAGTTCTTATCTTTTCTTGCATGTCTAAGAGTCTAAAATGTGTGGTCACATTTGGTTATTTGTCATTTGGCAAGATGTGCAAGGCAGAGAGAATATTGAGGCAACACACTAAATTTCCCTACATGCTATCAGGAGGCTTCTGCCCTATACACTAAGATATGATCTCCTACATTAGCAGTCAATTATTGGGTTGCTTCCATATTGAATAAGACATTTTCATAATTAGGGTTCATTTCAGATCTTCTACCATTAATAAGAGGCATTAAGATCTTTTATATGTTTTCGCTTTATTAATCTTGGTTAGTATGTTTCTTGTGAATATAATGCTAAATGTGATCTGCAGATGGCAGTGAATATTATTCTTCGCAAACTGAGGATGACGTGCCTCGACATAATTTGAAAAGATTACGAAGGGGTCCATCGAGGAGTAAGCGTCGTAACATATCTGGGTAAGGAGTTTTAACTTTCTTTAAGTAACAGAGTTCTCTTTTTACTCTTTCTTGTAAACTGAGATTTCCTTTTCTTGTAATTCGCTTTGTTTTCTTTTGCTGAGATTTTAATATAGTTAACTCAAAAATATTTGACTCCCAGTAGTTGAAAATTAGGACCTTATGATTGTTTTATTTAGTTTTTCTGCTGATGCCCGTCTTAATCTTTGCAAAAAGAATATTACTGTATCTGTTTTCATATATATGCTTATCTTTTTGGCTTTTTTTTTTCTTCTAATCAAGTCAGATTTTTTTACACTATTTTCTTCCTGTTTTCATTTTCATAAATATATATTTGTTTTATGCAGCCTCCACATCAGTGGTGCCTCACATCTTTAGAAAATAAAGATTTACCTATTTTGTTTCTGCAAATGGTTAATATAAGATGGTTTGTTGGTAAAAATGGAACAAATATTTGGAAATCCATGTTAGGGTACATTTTTAATTATTAAATAGACTAAATTTTTGGCTATTTTTTAAAAAAATCTCAGTTGGGCATTGTCAAAATCAAAACCAGCCACTTTCAATTGTTTGTTTTTTATTGCATTATTTGTCACTTCATCCCTAAATTATGAAAAGCTCTGCAACAATGACACTTGCTTGGCAATCCTTTCTAGTTTGGCCATGTCAGGTAATTCCTTGTTAGATGCTAAAGGACAGAAATGATTATCATATTGTGTTAAATGTTTTGCCTCATCATTTCACCCACCTTATTTTTTGATCCATCATTGATGAGTTGTTATCGTTGGTGGGCCATGGGGTGGGTGAATTTTTGAGTTTGGGTTTCATTTTTGTTTTCTCTTCTTGTGGGTTTTTACAACTTTTGATGGAAGTTATTCTCTTGTTTTATTAGGTTATATTCTGTTAATTTTTTTAATTAGTTTTCTTACATTTTATGTGCCTGCTCTGAGTATGGTTTTTGTGGTGTATTATTGGATTATCTTCTTCGTAATCTTTTGTTTCTTAGTCGGTGTTTCCCTGTTTTCTTCCCTTGCATGTTTACTCTTTCGTTTTGATCTGTAGTGAGTTTCTTTATTTTTTTATTGGGGTGTTCTCTTAATGGATTCCTATTATGGTGTTTTACTTTGTGGAATTACTTTTGGATTTTTTAGTATTAAGTTTGGCTGATGATGGATGAAGTATTATATGGAGATGGATGGAATGGTATTTTGGGCATAATAATTTAAAATAACTTAATATACTTGAAACATTCCACATCCATCAAGGTCTGTTGATGACGCATGCGTACATTTCCATTCTCTTGAGATTGGGATGCATCAAAATGCAAGTACTTATCTTGTAGGGGGTTTTCATAATTTACAGGAAGGCAAGGAAAAACATTACAGTTGTCAGCATTCTACTGAAAAATTCTGGATTGTAATTTGTTGCTTCCAATTCCGATCATTCTCTTTTTCTGCTGATCAAATCCATTTATTTTCTTTTTCAATTTAAAATATTTATATTTTCATCAGCAAGACATGTTTCAAACTTTCAGGATCTTATCAATTATAGCTAATCTTTGTCTGCAGATGATGCTACTGCTGTTTGGACTAATGAAGGTAAATACTTGAGTCTGTACATGACTCATCCAATTTCTGATTCCGAGATTTTTGTCAAGTCCCCTATGGTGAGACTGGAAAGTCTTTCTTTTTGAGAGCACCCAATCCTTCCTAGGGATGTCTTAGTTCACTGGTCTTGAGATCTCATATGGATTCTGGAGGGAAAAGTTTAGCTTGTTGGATAGCATATAGCAGAATCATGACTCAAGGAATGTTGATCAAACAGCTAGATGGTCCTCATAGTGGACTCTGCTATTGAGAAATTAGTGTATTCTGGTTGGGTATTGGTGAATACTATGTTGGTCTATCGAGGCACATCTGATAGCTGGACGAGGCATGGGATGGCAAGATGGTTTGATCCTTGTGTATATGCTTTCTCTTTTTCTCCTTGGCGACATGGCATGCATGATGTTGTAGGAGTGTGGTAACATCTTTTATGGTTAGATATTGCTAGGTTATACTTTTCTTTATTTTGTGGAACTGCATTTACATCTCTTCTGATTTTTACTGATCGTTAGCAGGTTAAGCGGAATTGTGAAGGACCAAAAGGTGTCGTTACTCTATCGAGTCATTAGTTGTTTTTTTGTTTTCTATGTAACTATATGCTTGTTTGTATGCTTGCATGCAATGTGACATGTGTCTCTATTTATCTGCATGTACTACTTTCGAAGATTTAGAAGAATGATCACAATGCAAAAAGTAACAAGCTGCTGTTTCGGTCTCTTGTACAATCCTTTCATCGCTTCTGACTTCCTACAGTGGCTCATGCTTGCTGTGCATGTTTATTCTCTCCTTGCTGAAAGGAGTATAATGTGTATATGAAAAAATAAAGAAAATATTGTTGGGTTGATATTGAAAGTGCAGACGGAATGGGTTTGACCGAGTGTTCCATCCAAGAATTTCTTATTATTCTATGAAATGATTTATAGTTCTCATTCTTTCCACAACAGTCTCGTCTCCATGTTAACATTAATGTTGCATCAAAACTTGCAGTCTCCTACGGGGATGGAATGTCAATTGAGGCTTTTGGAGCTTTTTAAGTTCACTGCAATTACTTGGTTCTCTTCTCTTTGATCTGATTGATGGATGGATGGATGGATTGATGGATAGATCATGTCGGCGAGTATAATCAATACAAGGGTACCAGTTCTATTGCTTCATTTGAAGCTCCAGTCCATTAATGCATTCAACTAAGATTATTCCTTCAAGAAAAACAGATGCAAGACAATGTACAGAATATGGAAGAAGATACCGTTTATATATATTATAATATATTTATTGAACTGAATAATAGAATTATTTGATTTAATAATACAAGGGAGAAAAAAAACCCACTACATTAAAGGTTCATCTAGACAACATAAAATGCAAAGAGAGAATAAAAAGGTCCCACCGAGATTTGAACTCGGGTTACTGGATTCAGAGTCCAATGTCCTAACCACTAGACCATGGGACCGAGGTGTTGTGTAAGAAAGGCAAAATTATATCAACCCGAAGGTGCAGGTTTTCTCAGAGTTTATTGCGCTTCCGCTTGGGGAAAAGCCGACACGACGGTGGCATGTCTCAGCTGAAGAGGTAGAAGATGAATCTGACGCTTCTTCCCTTGGGCACCCGGCACGTCAAGAGCCCCCTGCGTCGCCAGGCGTCCTCTGCTTCCCGTGCCCCGCACGTAACCCCTTCCCCGCCTTTATATACGCCGCTCCTCCTCGAGTAGCAGTAGCTGATCTGATCGCGACAATGCAAGCCGGGAAGAATGCCATGGCGTCCGTGAAGGAGACCGCCGAAAACGTCGCTGCCTCGGCCAAGTCCGGCATGGACAAGACCAAGGCCACCGTCCAGGAGAAGGTTGCCGCACGTCCCCCTCCCATCTCTTTAACTTTTCTAAAGGAATCCGTACCGCATCGCCATCGTTTCGCTGTCTGCCGCAGGTGGAAAAGATGACGGCACGCACGCCGGCGCAGAAGGAGATGGCGGAGGAGCGCAAGCAAGAGAAGATCCGGGAAGCCGAGGTCAACAAGCAGGAGACGATGCAGTCCAACGCGGTCGAGCACCAGCAGACCCTCGCCGGCGGCCAGGTCGCTGATCCGGGATTCTACCCTGTCGAGGGAGCGGCAAGCGGCGGGACCGGTGCGGCGAGGCCGTCCGCGGCTCACGACCCCTTCCTCGCTGCCCGGTAGGCGGCCGGGGAGATCGCACACCACGACCAACTTCGTTGTCTCTGTTTCAAGTTGTGGAAGTGTTTGCGCCTTGTCGAGTCCTACTTCACGTCTTCATCGTGCAAGTGTGCTTCGCGTGAAGCAAGTCCTTGAATTCGACATTTGCTTGCTTCGTGGTGTCGATGGGATGATGAGCTAGCTCGTCATTTGGATTAAGCACCGCCGTGTGTCGTGGCTTAACGACGACGACACCTTCGAGTGCCCTTATCGTGCTCTAAACGGTGTGTCCTCCGACCAAAAACGCAACCCTCGCTGCTGGATTCCGATCCATTATTGGCGATCGATGATGATTTAGATGGTGAATTAATCTATTTTTTTTGTAAAAATAAAAATTTTATCGGTGAAATCGATCGTCTTTCATCAGTACAATAAATAGGCATTAGGAAAAAAAAGAGATAAATTATCTTAATTTTATAATTATAGAAAAATCCAATATAATGTTAATTAAGTTTATATTTACAATACAATTATTTGTCCTGTTATATATACAGATACATATACATAATTAGCCCCGTTATATATACAGAGAAATAAGATTATGTCGGCCGATGATTCATTTGTCCGATCTGTCGATCGGCTGACCATCCCGAATCCCTTCGACGGGAAAAAGAAGGCGAATCTTACGGTTCTTCTTCCTCGGCCTCTTCCGTCGATCTTTCTCGCCATGGCTCCTCCGGGTCTGCTTCCCGTCACCGGTGAGCCATTTTTATTCAAGCTTTCTACATCGATTATATCGCTCAAGTTATTTGAATGTCTGGTGGTGGATTTTTGTGGCTAGGGCCTTCGAGTTTCGCCTTTCTCCTGTTCTTGGATTCGCACCCTTTGTGTTCCGCTTGGATACTCGAATTGGTCTCTTCTTTCCTGGATCCTCGTAGGCGACAATCGGTAGACACGGTAATCGTTGTCATGGCGAAATGCCTTCTTGAGAGACAGATCGGGATGATCGGGTTGCAGTCACGTATATCTAGGCAATTTGAAGCGAAAGAGTAGGGTTACATGGAAATCAACAGAACAAGTTAAAATCAACAGAGCAAGGGTATTGGCGAAGGCCACACACCATGATGCTCATCGGTTGACAAATTAGGAGAAGGTTGGTAACCTTTTTTATTTCTGGTTTACAACGTGGAAATGAGATTGAAGATAAAAGGCATCGTCTTACTGAAATCAAGTGGACGTAATGCAACACAACATGTTACGAAAATTCAAATCACAAATCACAAATTGGTGAGCTCCAGATACCATACCCTCTTAGAGCATACTGTCAATCCGAGATGGCAATCTCCTGAAGAAGTTGATGGGCACTGAGGGCAGTTTGCTGCGGAATCTGGGATGGCGGAGCATGTAGAGGCCAGCAACGAGAGCCACCAACCTGAAGGGCGCAATGTACAGTGCCACAGCTGCGCATAGACAGAACACCACAAACATGCAAGTAGCTCTTGGATCCCTCCAGCTCAACAGTGACTGGAGTCTCTCCCCTTGTGTTGCCATGTCTCCTGCCACAGTTTGTATCCTCCCAGCCACACTGCGTAACCGGTCATACCTCATGTGGACTACGTCGTGGGGCTTCGATGTTGGGAAGGTGTCGAATTCCTCATCGAGCTCATCCGGATGCACAGCCTCCGCCCATGATAGCTTGGTGTCCATATGAGGTGGGTGCCTTGGCCTGAATCTATAGTTCCAAAGCCCGATCATGAACATGTACAGAAATATAGTTGGTAGAATCAGCTCCGGGTACCAGACCAGTATCAGGAGTAGCACATGAACTAGCACGGTTGTGATTGGGTTCTTCCAGTGGCGCACATCGCCGAACCACTTGAACATGCTGATCAGACCTGAGAGCAGCGACATGATCCTGAAGAAGTTGGCCTTGCTCCTCCTCATGCTCCACATGTGAGACTCCACATCCAGCATATACTCCACCACCTCTTTCCGCAGTGGTGGCTCTGCCCTTCCGAGCCTCGCAGCGACAATGTTCATTGCCTGGTACCTGAGGCTGTCCAGTTGGTTCACTGTGAACGGGTGCAGGTAATGCATCTTGGGAAGCAGTGGATGGCCATAGAGATAAATCATGTTGGCAAGTGACAGGCAGGTGAAGCGTATGGCCAGCTGAAGCTCTCCCATTTTCTTCACTCCTGAAGATTGGAGGACGATCAGGGGGTATGTATGTCTATACAGTCTGTCGGTTTCAAGTGTTGAGAGTCTGATTCTGACCTTCCCTATCTTTGAATCTCTTGGAGCAGGTCCACCTCCACCGTGCCGGTCACTGCTACCAAGGTGGCAATTGTCAAAGACACCAATGGTGATCACTGTGCTTGGGTCGAACACCTCCCAGGTGTACTGCTCATTCCAGGTTGGAGCGAATGTGCCGACCATGGTTCTTGTCCGGATCCACTTCTGCCCATACTTTGCAACACAGTAAGCATCAGTGGCTCCTCTGCCTTCCCTCATCTTCATTGGAAGCAGCTCATTTGCACCCAAGATTCCAACCTCCAAGATGCCGACCGGTGGCTTCCAGAGCTGGCGAGCTGTGGGTTGTTGATCACTAATGTACATTGTTGATTCATCCATCACATGATAAGCTCCCTCGAGGCAAACTCGGAGGTGGATCCTGCTGGAGAATCTGAGCTCTCTTCTTGTTTCACCTTCCAAGATTCCTATTCCGAACTTCTCCAGGTCAAACCACCGTGAATGAACCACCGGACGGTGATCCAACCTCTTCTCAAACAGTGTCAATGGCAGTGATGCCCTTCCCAGCACATCGTCCTTTCTTGGGCTCACACGGTCTTCGACGGTGAGGGCTAGTTGTTCTTCAAATGGCTCTGCCACCACAAATATGAGATCTTCATTCCAAAGTGGATTAAGTGTCGCCGTTTGGCATATCTTCGTTTTGAGCACCTGGTTACCAACTTGGGCCTTCACAAAGACCTCAGGTGCCCGGCCCCTGACATTTGGTTGAACATCTTGGGCTTCAATGACATTAACTCTGAGGTACCAGAGTTTCGGGGAGACATAGACCTTTGAGCGGATGTTGACTACTCCTTCCCCATGGACGGAAGCTGCATCAGAGTGCCATGCCTCTGGGAAGGCTTCATCTGCCTGTGTCCCAACCCAAACTGCGAGCATGACCTCCCCCCTAACCTTCCCTTCCCCTCTGCGATCCTCCAGCCGATACCACTGGGGGGCTAAGGGACTGTCAGGGGGAACTCTGGTGGGCACTTCATTGAGATCAAACACCACCTTCCCCAGGTAGTCATCTCTTCCAACCATCTCCTTATCCTTTACAAAGATTTCCAGTAGTGATGATTGGATGCGCTCCTTGGAGAATGCAAACACCTGGTTCCACTCTGGGTTGGTCTTCTTATCAAAGTGCCTGGTGGTGCCTCTGTAGTTGCCCAGCTTCACCTCAATGTAAGGATCACAATTCATGGTGATGGGGTTGCTTAGAAGGTCTTTGGCTTTGACGACTCGCACATAGAGGTAGTACATCTGCTCCACCAAATCGTAAGTGCTTGTGAGCTTGTCGGTGCTGCCGCTGAGCCAACCAGGGACTCCACTGCGGGTGGTCCCTCCGGTTGGCCATCGGTCGCCAAGCAATGGATTGGTGTTCTTCAGTTCATTGTGCTGGCGGTGGCTCATTGTTGTTGTTGCCGTTGCTGCTGAGTTCTTTGCCCTTTTCCTGCTTCCTAGTGCTTGTTTTTTTGGCAGAGGAAAGAGCTGGAATGTAAGTAGAAAATAGAAAAAACTATGTTTCTGGTGAAGATCTCTGGAGAATTCTGTCTACGTACAACTACATTGGAATCATATGAGTCTTACCTTATAGAAGATGTTGGAATCAGTGGACAATCTCTCGTTTTGCTAAAATGCTTCTGAGGCAAATTGGTAGCATCAGATTCAAATGTAGTGGTTTCGGGTTGCTGAAGTTGATCTCGATGGAAGTGGGTCGATTTCTGTCTCTGTCTTCGAGTATAAGTATCTTTGGCATCCAGTACTACCACATGTTGGCTTCATGTTTTCAACTTTCAGGCCACTAAATTCTGATTGAACTTTGCCTTCAGTGGCTGCAAGGAAGCAACTCATTGCAAGCAATTGTAACCCTGATTCTGAAGCAAAGTTGTTCCTGATAGCATTCCTGGGTAGCCTGATATGAAGGAAGGAATAGAAACTATCCTGGATACCTTTCCTGATGTCTTTCTGGAAGGAAGCTTTGCCTATAGGCAAGTCACTTCTTTCACAGAGAAGCAAGGGTTGTTTTTTCTGGGGCTGTGGCTCTAGTAGGGTTCATCGATAGATCTCATGTTACTCTTGGAATATATTGAAGGAAGAAGAATGAGTTATTGAATCGTGGGCTTTCTATTCATCTTGCCTTTTCCCGTAATCAGATGAGTTGCTGGAAGACTTCCAGGCTGGTTATGGCAATTTGAACATGCCTTGCTATCTGTCATAAACTTTCTAGACTAACTCTGAGACAGCCCTAAGATGGGTATAAAGGGGTACCCATGTTCTTCTAACCAACATCCTTCACTGGACTGCAAAAGCAAAACAGTCTACCAGAAATAAAAAGAGTAAGTAGATATAAATATTGAAAGAAAAATAGAAAGATTTTTGCAGCTTTTCTCTCATGTTGACCTTGGTATTGCATGATTGTGTATCAGGCTTGTTCATTATAACCTTGATGGTAAATCTTGTAGTTTCAATCAGTTTTTCATTATCAAGTTATTACTTGCTTCAGCTTCCCACTGGCTTTCTTTGCTCATGCAGCTAGCTATTTCTTACCATGACTTTGTGTGCGTCACTTAAAATTTCAGCGCAATGTACTGTTTTATTCTAAAATCACAATGTGATTGATTGGAGCTTCTCTTGCAAGCCTTTTTTTGTTGCTTTTTCTTTTTGCAGTATGACATTTGGTGATTCCCTGTCTTTCTCGCTTTTAGTGAACATTCTGTCAGTTTAAACTCAAGGAGCTTTCAATCCCGTAACAGTAGGCATCAGATAATGATTTTCATTATTCCATCTAAAGCATCTCCAAATTATGAATGGTTTACCATACTCATGCATTATGTCAAATCTTGGATCTTATGATATTCAAATAAAAATTGAAACATACCTTATTATTGTTTTGTGTGTTTGAGACAGTGAAGGTGTTTCTTATGTGATTTTGCTTGGGAAACCTCCATGGTCAAGCATTTTACTGGTTCTTTTCTTCTTGTTTGTGGTTTCGTACTCTCATTAGAACGGTCATATGGTTATGGTTTAGAATTTTCTGATACCTTTGTTGTTACCCTCCTGATGACAAAAGGAGTTATCAGACATATCATGTTGTACTTGATTGTGTTTATGGTTACCTTTATTCCTTAAAGTAGCATCACTCATGCTAAGCTTTTTTCTTCTTGTTCCCTCTTGATGACTGCGGGAATGATCTGATGTAATACTTGGCCAATCCACTGACTTTGTTGCCTTTATTCCTTGCTGCAGGAATATATTCTTCTGAGGACCACTACAAACTCTAGAAAAAGGTCTCAGTTTCCATCCGTTGTCAGATGTGATCTTAGTCATGATACTTTCTGAGATACTGAGGGCATAGTTGATGAGGAAGGAATGCATGCCAAGAACAGTGATTTTTGGAGAGGCAAATGGGTGTGATTAAAACAACTATATCGCTATCTAAATTTGTTGGTCTACCAGTATCTGTTGTCGGTGATACGGCTGTCTGTTGTTGGTTGCCCAATTGTTGATAGTCTTAATTTGATTGCACAATTGAACATAATTTACTCATAGTGGAAACCGAGAAGCAGGGATTAGATGATGTATTTTGATCATTTCTAAATCATGCCGTGGGAGTTTTGTGCGTTGAGCCACCCTTTAATAAGAGTTTTATTGTTTAGTCAGATCTAATCTAATGATCCTTTTCATGGAATCCCAAACTTACACTTGAATTGGAAGATGTCTGGTAATTTGATATTTGATGTTGTGCTATAAAATTTTGAAATCTAGGAAGGTAATGGTAGTGAAATTGCTTTTGCCATCGAGCTTAGAATTTGTGTGGCCCATCAGACTAATTTGACCGTGTAAAGAAAGCCATAAAATATCATAGGTGGTAGTTTTGGTAAACAAATTTCTGATCCATATGCCTTGTTCATTTGGAAGTTTTTTTTTTTTATATATGTTCTTGAGAATATCAATTGTCTCTATCAAATCCAAATTGGGTAATTTAACTGGCCTATTAATTTATTGGATCTAAGCCAATCGTTTAAAATGATTAAGTTTAAGTTAATAATATTATACTCATGGAGGTTTTATAAATTAATTTTAATTTTTTTTTATCAACTTGGGATGTAATGAAAGTGTCACAATCCTCCCTATCCGAGGACTTGGTATATTTATCAAGAATTAATATAATCTAAAATAAAAAAAATCTATTGTATCGATAGCTCTACGCTATGACATGCATATGCTCTCTTAAGTTGATGATAATACATTCATCAAATTCTGTTCTTACAAAGTAATTCAAATATTTATTAGTTTCTAATATGAGATTAAATGGGCGTGTTGCCGTTTTCTTTGATAAAAGGAAAGTAGGATTTAGATAGGTGAATATAATGATCGAAGAAAATATAAAAAGCAACTTCAGTGCATCAAATAATTATTTGTGTGGAATATCTGCAAGGGGAAGTAAGAAGGGTAATCTAATCCGACTCTGTCAACAGATCATTCTAGCTCAGTTATCTAGTTTAATCTACTTTTAAGCCGGTTAAGATAACCAAAGTCAAAATCTAAAGAACACCAAGCAAGAGGAACTAAAAATAGCTAGAGTTCAAAGCTACCTATGGTTTGTCAAATTTACAATTACTGCTGCTGCTGCTAGATGATCCAATATGATCTTAGAGCAAAATAGAAGGACTTCATGCAAGAAAAGTTTCAATCGAGTCATAGTTCAGATTGACCACCGCACGACAGAATAGAGCTGTGAAACTGAGGGAGAATCTATTGCTACTCAAACCACAGAGGTCAATCCATTGCAAGAACTGTGAAAAGCTTCAGACTCTATAAAATCTTTTGCCGTGTCTACAAAAAAAAAACTAGAGAGGCAAAAAAAAATCAAAATCAAAATCTTTTTATCATTGCAAGAACATGAACTTTAAAGACAGTAGTAGAGAGGAGAACATGAAGCACCTACCCAGAATCCAATCGACAAGCAAATAACAAAAGATGCACAAACATGCAAGTAGACGATTCAGGAGGAGGAACAGCATGTGGCTTTGTTGGCACTTGGAGGATCCTGCCCGGGGACTACTATACTGGTTCCCTTGAGCAGGCTGGAGTTGCCAGCAGACTGTGCCTCATCATTGGCAGCGAGGGACTTCTTGCTGACGATCCGATGGATCTCAGTGAGCACGGTCTGGAAAGCACTCTCCACGTTGGTGGATTCAAGAGCGGAGGTCTCCATGAAGAAGAGACTCTCACGCTGGGCGAACTCCTTGGCGTCCTCGGTGGGGACTGCGCGAAGACTTCCCAGGTCGGACTTGTTTCCGATGAGCATTATTACGATGTTCCTGTCGGCATGGCCACGCAGTTCCTCCAGCCACCTCGCCACATGATCGAACGACTGGCGTTTAGTGATGTCGTACACCAGCATTGCGCCCACTGCACCTCTGTAGTATGCACTTGTTACCGCTCGGTACCTGTTGCAGATCACCACCCCACATTCCTAGCGTTAGAACCCAGGAGAGTATAACGATAAGCAAAGACAACCCAGTTTGTCAGTGGAAATGCAATAAGAACAAAGTCACAGTTACATGGATTTTTTTACTGTCAATGAGTTCCATAAAAATCATATTTAAATCCTTATTTATAATTTCTGATAAAATCCTTTTAGTCCTTTCTTCTTTTATCTCTCCGATTATCACTAATATTAATTGTTTCATATCTCTTACCTAAATATAGATCTCGGCAAACATGATACTCAAGACAAATGTCAAGAATCTATTTTGTTTGAGCATCCATTAAATCAGTATAAATTTGTTATACAAAGTATCAAAATCTAGCATGGATATATATATATATATATATATATATATATATATATATATATATATATATATATATATATATATAATGCTATTGCAAAATCGCAGAATTGAAGAGAAATAAGCCCCATAAAGATCAAGCACAGAAAACCAGCACATTTCATCAATATGAAGAACGTAAACTTCACTACACCTCCTGCAAAAACAGTAAAGAATGTGATATTCTGGTTTTGACGATTTGATAAGAAGACAGGTTGATCCTGCTATTATCCAACCATTTTATAGATGGTCTTAACTGCCACTGATGTTATATATTAAGAAAAACAAGGTCAGAAGCAAATGCTCAGATTTTGACATATAATATCAGGAAAGCATGTCATTGTCTCCCTTCTACTATTTGATACACAAGTTTAAACTTTACCATTTCATAAAAGCATGAAACAATTTAAGACCAAAAAAAAAGAATTAGGGTCATCTGCAAATCTTATGGAACCATCTTGGGATCTTGATTTCCAGTAGATCTTTGTGTCATTTGAGCCATAATTGAGGTGATATCTCAAGACAAGGACAAGACTCGTATACACCACAACTTAATCCAGAGAAGTCTTAACATCTACTAAAACACCATTTAGGAGCCTTTTTCACACGGATGATCCTGTGAATTGATGTATTTGAGTGAAGCATTTTTCATCAAAGATTCACCGCAAAAAAAACATTCTTCACTTTCAGATTAACTAAGTAGACAAGCGTGTGATCATTAGAATGTTGACATAGAGTCCGTAAAGCATGAACACCAGCATGGGATGGAGCGTGGATATGACATGATATGCACATTGAAATGTCAAAACTTGCAGATGTAGGAAATGGCACGGGTGAACACAACAATAAACACATGTATATGACATGATATGCACATAGGAATGTCAAAACTTGCAGGTGTAGGAAATGGCACGGATGAACACAACAATTAACACACAATGTCAAGCTTATTATGCTAAAAGTTCACAAAATACTTATTCTTCTTAATCCTGGAGCTGTCAACTACGTCTTGCATCCAATTAGCACCACTCTTTGCCCTGAATTACCATGGAAAATGATCCAAATTGCAAAAATTGGAGATCCAGTATCATAAACATTATAGGTTATGTAACTAGAAACTAAGTGAAACAAATCCAATCAGACAATTCTGCCTCATGTCATAGAGTTCTAAGCTTTCAGAACCACCATGGTTTTAATTTCAATTGAATTTACGACTTAGCAGCAAGAGCAAAAGGTTCTACCAAATACAACAGCTTTAGTAAGGGGTTCAATTAACGCATACTATAACTCCAAACAATCAAACTAATTCTATTTCCATGTTATTAAACCTAACAAGAAAATAAGCGGTATGCATCTGGATTTATAGATTTCATTGTGGATCCTCATATGCCCTGTTATGGCTCATTTAGGGTTGACTTTCTTCGGTCTCAAAAATCTAGATCTCTAGTTTATTCCTTTGTTCCTCTTTACACTGCATTATTCTCGTCAGATCTCATAAAAAACCTACAACATGTAACTATGAGAGGCTGGAACGTCTTCTAGTTTCGATAACCAACAATGGGCCAAGTACCCAAACCAGGGTGACGAAAAAAAGAAGAGAATTGCATTAAATGCTTGATACATTACACTAGACGAACAATGCGAAGGCACAGCATAGCCAAGAAAGATCCAAACATCATCGATCAGCAGTTCGCATCCGACGTAAATCAATGCGTAAAAGATGCCCAACCAAAGGACCGAACAATTATTGATGAATTGATTGGTTGATCAATAATATCGATCAAGAAAACATAGTTGCTGTCATACGATGATCAAATAGCATCATCTTGATCGATAAAATCAGGGTTGGACGACCCATATAACGAAAAGAAGGGAAGAGAAGGGGAAAGGGCACCTTTCTTGGCCGGCGGTATCCCAGATCTGGGCCTTGATGGTCTTGCTGTCAATGGTGAGGGTGCGGGTCTGGAACTCGACGCCGATGGTGGCCTTGGAATCGACGCTGAACTCGTTACGGGAGAAGCGGGCGAGCAGCTGCGACTTGCCCACCGCCGAGTCCCCGATCAGCACCACCTTGAACACGTAGTCGATCTTCTGGTTGAACTCCCCGTAGTAGTTCCGACTCCCCGACGACATCCTCTATCTCTCTGACTCGATCCTACTCGACCGACCGATCGCTCGCTCAGGCGAACGAATCACCACGGCGATTATCGCCACCAGGAATAATAAGAAGAAGAAAATGACGAGATCGATCCGAGGGAAGAAGACGACGATGACGACTTCGTCGGTCACACGAATGAATCTATGCCGAACTCTATCTCCTTCTCTCTCTCCCTCTCTCTCTCTATATCAGTCTTCCTTCGGGCGCCAAAGAAACCAGAGAACAGAATTGGCTGAGGGACAAGAGAGAGATGGAGCGCGTTTAGAGAGAAAGAGAGAGCGTCGCGATTCGCGAATGATGTGATCGCCGCGTGATTGAACCATGATGGAGGAATGCCACGCACGCGACTGCTTTCTTTTTTATGCTATTTACTATTTTATAAAAATAATTTTATCATATGCTAATTTTAATACTATATATACTGTGACAATAGAGTTACATTTGAAAGATTTTGTGCTTTATTTTCTTTATTTGTATTTGATTCTGTTTTATATTTGGTGATCTTATTGTTTAGGTTTCATAAAATGATTTAAAGAAGTAGATTTATAGTTAATCTTAACTATAGATATATATATATATATATATATATATATATATATCTTAGATATTATATTATTTATTATAATGATATTAAAGAGCGATATAAGACTTTTATAAGCACAAATCTCAAAGCAGCTACATGGGTTAGGCTCCTCTACTCAATCAAACATCGATTAAAACAGTAGTGGGATGGTAATGAAAGCAGATTGCTAACTATCCTTATATTGGGCTCATGGCCCATCAGTGTCGTCTAAGATGAGCTCAACCATCTCATAGATCTTGGGTTCGGACCGGTCCGTCCAAATTAAGGCCTCGACCGGAATCGAATCGTCGGTTTATTTAGGTTCTCCATCTTCGGCCGACCCACCCTTGTCAGGGAATCGACTCGGAGCTCCCCAACACCGTAACGGTGGCGACGGTCTCAAGGAACGGTGACGTCATATGGATCCGCTCCCTCCCTTCTTCTCCGTCCATCTCTGCGGAGCCTGTGAACGGCTCCGTCGGTTAGTTTCCCTTGTCCCCGGTCGATCGTCATTGCCGTCACATTCGTCCAAGCCTGGGCTTGATGATGTGGGCGAACACATAGTTAAGCAGAACATGGATTTCCTTTGAAAGCAACTACTATCTTGAAAAAATTTAATGTTATTTTTCTGAATTTTCATGCTATCTCGATTGAAATTAGATAATGCCAGACAACCATGATGGAATTCATTCTGTTGAGACCTATAAGTTAGATGGAATTACGAAAATATTCGTGTATTATATTCATAGATATCTTTTTCTTTTCCTGTTGTAACTTTGTCGTATATTTATTTTTATTATGTTAATTCTAGTATGAATCATTAAAAATATTTACTGTTTGTGGACTATGGAAGTGATTCTGGCTCTGGCTCTACTGTGTCTGTTTGCCAAACAAATCTTAAGCCCTTTGTGACGTTTAATCATACTTCTTTAGTAGAAGGACAGGAGTGATTCCTTTATCGACCTTATAAAGTACACCAAGGCTTGTCTAGGTTATTTAGTTAAAAGATCACTAGCAATTTTGATGTTGAATTTAGCCAATGGTTTGTGTTCTTGCTTCGAGTTAGCTTATAAGATCATGTTGTTAAATAAAAAAATTCCCAACATCAGCAATATTTGATGTCATTGGATCGTGTTAGACTGTTGGGTAGTGTTTATGTCAGGTTAAGATGCATTTATTAGACCAAAACTTCCACCCAAACTGCTAAACTTGAACCTAATCCACCTAATACATGTGTAACCTAACCTAACCTAACCTTTGGGCTTAGATCAAATTATATTATAGATGATAGATTTAAACCAATTTAAATGAAAACCCTTCACTGACAATTTAATCAATCCAGTAGTAGAATTTGACCTATTTATAACCAATAAGCATGATATGATCGACACTCATTTGAAAATGATACATTGATGTGCTTAATCCGATTATTACTGATTCAAGTGGGTTAGTCATGACAGTTTCCTAAATTCATTCAATAAGAGTCTCTCTGCTTGGGACATGCACAAAATGCTAATAGTTTCGACTTTGAAGTTAGTTATCATGACCAACTTGTGATCTGCACTCAGCCATTAGATCTGCCACATTGTGGTTGTTAATTCAGTAACTTAGGTTTGTCAACTTGTTGTAAATTGATCAAGTCACAATAAAATTTATCTTTTCCTTTCTATTTTCTTTTTCTGTATTCAGCTGATGTTATGCGGATAATTTTTAATCATCTCCACCTAACATCATCGGAGAATGAGGCTGCTAACTCTAAGAATTTTGCGTATATAGGGCCATATATTAAAGCTCATAATTGCATTTTTGTTTGATAACTGGAGAGAAGCATATAAGTTTCTACTGCTCTAAAAAAAAATTCCAAACAAACTTTGGTCATATTCGATATAGACTTGGTTGTGTTTGCCATCTCTCTGTTGGATGTTAGGCCTGAAAAGTTGTGATCTATCCAACTGTAGCTGTTAAGATGTACTGGTATACTTGGTACATAAAGTAAGATATGCTTGCTGTCACCCTGTTAGGTGTCGGGCCTGAAAAGGTGATGGTCTAATCCAACTGTGTCCTTTAACAAGTACTGGTATATTTAGTACCCTGAATTTTTCCTTCAGTTGCTTCCCTGTTAATCAACACATTGACTGGTTACCATTCTTGTTGGAAGGAATGATACATCATCCTAAATTTGTATAATGTTTGTACATATGGGGCCTTCATTTTTAAGTTTCAAGTTCCTTTTGTCTTGTTCTATGTGTTATTTGAAGAACAAAAACTTTCAACTCAGGGCAGAAAAGGGTAGTGAATGAGATTCTTGGCAGTAAAATTGTCCAATTGTTTTATAGAGATTAAACAAGTTCTTCCATGTGCAACTATGTATAGCATCATCCAGTTACGGGCCAATCTATTTCGTAACAAGGGACTATTTTTTCGTTTTCCATCTGATGGTCATAATTACTCAAGGAAACAGTAGGTAATGCTTTAGATAATGGTGGAACACTTTTGGAATAATTTTTCTAATGGATTTCAGCCATCTCTTCTTCGTTTTTGATATGTATATGTATATATATTTATTTACATATTCTTTTTCTTGTGATTTACATTAGCCATGAATTTTTACCAGTGTATGTTATGACATATGCCTCGTGGTTGTAATCATCCTTTTTCTGTTATTGTTATTTTATGCACATATGCTTACTTGCCCAACCTCAGTAGCTTTTAGGTTGGGTTGTCGGTGCAATGACTTTCAAGGCATCAGCATATCTGGTATAGATGGCATATTTATCACAGATCACTTTCTGCTTACACTTCAGCTAGGCCTCTACCTATTGCAGCTCAGAGGTATAACAACCTTGCTTGCAACCCAATGCTCTTAGCCGTGTGCTAGGCAGTTTGTTAGACCCCTTGGTGCTTCTCCTTTGGTTTCTGATGATCGTGATGGTTACGCAAATGAAGAAGAATGCTGCGATCTCCAATAATGACTCTTCAGCTTCATGGTCTCTCAAACAGGTGGTTCATTTAATCTGATAGTGAAAGCTCATCCAATTACACATGCTCTTATGAGGCACCATTAAAATGCAAGGAGGGCTTATTTGATGATTCATTTTCTTAGTTGTGTTCCCTTGCTTGCTGTCCCTGATTTAATGAGAATGGCATATTATTGATTAACAAGAGAAAATATGTGCCAATCGGAATAGGGTGTATTTGATTTTCTGGAGGAATTTATCATAAACTGGCGTCTTGCTTAATACAGCTAAAGTTGACAGTCAAATGAATAGTGTTTGTCAGTCCATCATCGCACAATTTCTCAAGGTTCTCAGTTTGGTGATAGCCCACGTGTGATTCATTGGATGTGTGAATTCAGTCTTCAGATGTATTCCTTTTTCATTCCTCATGTCTTTACATTGTCATTCCAGTAAGTGACTCTTATAATTTGTTTCTCATGTATTTACGTTGTTATTCCAGTAAGTGATTCTTATAATTTGTGGTAACTCTGTAAACTAGCTCTCTTCTTACACCTCCTCTATTATTGAAACCAAGGGACCACTCTGCAACATGGAACCTGTTGGATCTAAGACATGACGTTGGTTGGTGGCTATCATGAAGCAACCGGCTGGTTGCATAATCAAAGCCTCTTACTTTCTAGGTCTTCGGTGCATTCAATTAGCAATATGGAACAAGAAGGGTCTACATATGAATGTAAGTATGAGAACAATTTACTTATCACTTCCGACACCCTGTTGCTGTTTATTCATCCTTTTGTTGCTGCAGTTCTTGCAGGGATAACATATTGTGCTCCATGTCAATAATTTCCACCTTTTTGTTTCAAAACAAAGAACAAAGAATTACATATGGTGGACCTCAGGAACTTGTTGCCTAGACTTGGCCTGTGGGTTGTGTTCAAACGTGTACAGAATGCTTTGAGTTCAAAAAAAATGCTTCGAGTTAAAAGAATATGAATGTTAATATCATTCATGCCTTTAATTGTGGGCAGATTTCCTGTGGGATTTTTATCTTTTTCCCCTCTAATCCAAATGTCCAACTTCCAGTTTTGGCTGAAGCTCTGTAGTGATCAATGTAGACGTCAGGTTTTTAAGCACTACAAGAAGGTTTTATTCTTCACCAAGTACCAGAATAAACAAGCAAGCAGGCAGCAATATGATGTTTTAGCTGTTTCTTTATCTTGCTTTTCCAAGACTAATTGAGACTTCATTTAAATTATATTATGCAGGAAGTCAGCTCGTTCCACTCTCAGCTACTCAACAAAGGGGATGATCAATAATAAGGACCTTGCTTCTGAGCAGATTAAAGCTGGATTAGCTAGTACAGCAACTGCAGTCATTCAAATGGCCATCCACACTTCAATGGAATTGAAGGAGACGGCATACCACCTTGCTTCAACACCACTATTCCACCGACATTGGTTTACCTACCCATCGTAGGTCAAAGGTGGCAGCTCTGTGTTCCCTAGTATGTGTTCTTATGACTCCAACCACCCCATGCATTTGCTTTATCTCCTTCATTTACTACTAAGATGTAGGGTACCTTATCATAGCTTTGATCCCCCTCAAGCATCACATGACTCTCTCTCAGCTTTTATTGCAGTGAAACTACTATATGACAAGCTCCCCATCCCTTCTTCACTTCTGGACTAATTTAATGTCGTTGCTGCTTGTTTATACCTCGAACACCAATTGTCGGTTGTGCATGGTGCCCTACAAGTTTAAAATGCTTCTCTGGATCCTGTAGCCCTAGAAAACATTGGAAGTATTTGCATTTATTAGTGGCCGTCTAAAAAAGCACTAGAATCTAGGGCATGTTTGGCAGGCCGCCACTGTTCATGGACCTCTCTAATTCATGGTGAGGGACCTGTTCCTTGTCCACATTTGCCTTTGACATGTCACTACTACTACTGCTCGTGCTATAATAATTTGTTGGCATTGGAAGGATGCATGCACATGCATGGATCCATTGCCACGCAAGTTCATTTTCCTCTTTGCTGTGATGATCTGTTCATTTCATCTCTGTCACTCAGGCCTCGTTCTCTCTTATCCATACCTATCAGGCTTTCAATTGTTTCTCTGTGTGTGTATGTATAAATGCATGTAATTCCTTCACAGGTCCAGGCTCCATCAATGGCAGACGCCTTCAAAGGAAACTCGTTTGCCTTCACCAGCTATACCACTCAGTTCCAATCATCACCACTCACTCCTCTCAGAGAAGCCCTTCCTCTTCTCAGCCTCAGTCCTAAGAAGCACCACCACCACAACCATCTGCAGCAGCAGCAGCAGCAGCAGCAGACTTCCTGCAGTGCCTTTGAGGAAGGCGATTACAAGAGCAAGCGGTCAAATGGCGGAGAGAATGTGGAGGAAGCTGTGAGTGTGGCACTCCGCATAGGTCTCCCGAGCCCCAGCGAAGCCGATCTCATCTCCAGGGTCTCTTCTACTTCAGTGAGTGAAGACAAGGAGTGCCAAAAAGGAGGAGGTGGTGGTGATGGTAATCCTTTTGCTCTCTCTAGCGTAGGCAAGCTCACCAGAGGCCAATATTGGATTCCCACCCCCTCTCAGATCCTCATTGGCCCTACCCACTTCTCTTGTCCTGTTTGCTGCAAGACCTTCAACAGATACAACAACATGCAGGTAGAGAGCCTCTCCTCCATCCGTCTTTTCTGCTTCAAACATGCTTCTTCTCGTCGAGTTCCAAGGTTTACTTGTGCCTGCTTCAAACATTGTTGGAATACGGATGCTATTGTGAGGCTGAGTTCAGCAGTACTTCTTATCCTTTGTACCTGTGGTGCATGCTTGCTTGTACGTACGTTCGTGCAGATGCATATGTGGGGGCACGGGTCGCAGTACCGGAAGGGACCGGAGTCGCTGAGGGGGGCGCAGCCCACGGCGATGCTGCGGCTGCCGTGCTACTGCTGCGCGCCGGGGTGCAGGAACAACGTCGACCACCCGCGAGCCAAGCCGCTCAAGGACTTCCGGACTCTACAGACTCACTACAAGCGGAAGCACGGGATCAAGCCATTCGTGTGCCGCAAGTGCGGCAAGGCCTTGGCGGTCCGCGGCGACTGGCGCACCCACGAGAAGAACTGTGGCAAGCTGTGGCGCTGCACCTGCGGCTCCGACTTCAAGCACAAGCGATCTCTCAAGGACCATGTCAAGGCGTTCGGGCGCGGGCACGCGGCCCACGGTCTCCACCGCTTAGACGAGGAGGAGGACGAGCCGTCATCTGAGATCGAGCAACATAGTCATCAGGTTCAGCAGCAGCAGCAGCAGCAGTAGGGAAGGAGATGATAAGAGTCCCAAATCCATCCCTTCTTATGTTCTTGTTCGTCTGCAGAGCTGAGATCATAGTCTGATAGTATTAATCCTCAGCTAACTGCATCACGTTCCCATCCTCTGCACTCACTCAGCTTTTTGTTCGGTGGATGTGATGCTTTCGTGCTTTTGCATGGTGGATATGTACGTCGGTTCATGGATGGAACATAAACCATGAATTATTCAGATCGAATGATTAGTTTGCTATTAGGAAGAGAGAGAGAGACAGAGAGAGAGTTTTTCTTGACATTGAAGGTCTTCAGAGAAAAAGAGAGAGAGAGAGAGAGAGAGAGAGAGAGCGACCAGTCAAAAGAGGGTTCCTGAGAGAGCATATCAAGCACAAAGTATCCATGGAATGTACAGCGGTGCCAGTATGCACCTAAGAAACCCATTAAAAAATGACTTGACGCAAACCTCGCACCCGCTCTTTCTCTTCTTTGTGTCCTCACTTTGATCTCGACAATTAATTAGCCATTATTGCTCCGTACTTCACAGAATAAAGCAAGTTGTGTGACTTGCTCAGGATGTTATTTCTGTAGCTGTAAAGCACTATACTTGATCAGATAGCTACGGAAGAATGGTTTATTTTTTTGTTGGAAGATCCCCTTCCCTCGAATCTCTTCAAATATCTAACAAAAACATAAAAGTATACTTTAACTAATTAGTTTGATTAGTATATTATTATCGATTTAGTATTGAGCATAGTACAAGGATTTGAGTAGAATAAGATTATTCGTGATTGAAGTTAGAAGACCCGTAAGAATGTGAAGTCATCTATGCATTATACCTCATACGTATCATATTAAGATTTGATTTTGATTATACTAGATAAAATAAGAAGTGAGAAAATTAAATAAGAAAATTAGTAAGATGGGTGTATTAATATCAATTAATTTAAATATTTTGATCAATGATTAAGATTAAATAAAAATAATAAATTAATTATCACATCAAATCGGATCAATATAAAATCATAATTTATCATCACACCTCTTAAGTCCGTTTCAACCCATAGAATCAAGAGGGAGCTGGAGAGCGCCATGCTCGCATTTCGTTGACCATTCGAGTACACCAAAACGTTGCAATTGATTGAAGTACTCGACCAAGGTGATGATGTATTCTTGTCAATGTGATCTGTCAATTGCCGCAATTATGTAGACTGTGGGGCAGATTGGTACAAGAGATTAAAGTGTTCGTCCTTCTGAGGTAGTAAAGAAGAAAGAAAAGAAAAAAAGCTGTCACAAGATCTCCATCCCTCTTGCTTCCTGTACTTTTCCATCAGTATACAAATTTATACCTTACTGGTTAGATTTCTTGAGAAGCGCAGATCAGATCCTTGGGACCAATTTAGAGTTGTCTGGACAGAAGACTAATTGTGAAGGTTAATAGATTATCATGCAATAGTGACGGCTAAAAATCCAGAGAAATTACATCACAACTCAATCTAGTTTCAGCTTCAAAGAAATGGGAAAAGAAAAAGAAACAAGTTTCAGACTTGGTTTAGATCTGAGGATGTATTTTCACCTGTAATTTGACAAAGAAAGACAAGAGATGCTTTTTGAGAGACTCTTCGTTTGAAGCTATTCTTAAGAGAGAAGACTGGAGGAACACATGCACATATGATCAAAGATAATTATATATACATATATACTTATCTAATTATATATTATTCTCGAAAATAAACTAAACTACACATGTTTACAAGACTTATATAATTGAGGATTCTGCGATCAAATGTATTTCAATTTAAAATCGAGTATATTTCATGAATTTTGTCTAAAATATTTCAAACTTGTATATCTATACCCACACATATGATTGTGATATTGATTCATGTATATTTTCCTTTCTTGGATTTTAAAAGAATTATAATGTAAATTTTATAAATATCTTTTGAGGAGAAGGAAGAGGAGATTGAGGGGGAGGAGGATAAGGAGGAAGAGAAGAATAAGGAGGGGGAGGCAAAAGGATAGGAGGAGAAAGTGAGCGAGGAGATGGGGGTGGAAAAGGAGGAAGAAGTAAGGCATTGGAGGTGGAAGAGGAGTAGGGGGAGAAAGGAAGACAGGTTGCGAAGAAGGTAGTAAACAAAACTATCTTTCTAGATTTTAGCTACTATATTTTGGAGTGGACTTGTTGTTTCATTTGCTGGGAAAACTTGCATGTTTTCCTTTCTTTTTTTTTTTTCTTATATGGTGTTATACATCGGAAAGTAAGAGAAGGAAAGAGTGAGAAAGAAGAAAGAAGAAAATAATAGAAATTTCTATTCATCATTTTTGCCTCACAATTCAATAACTTACAATCAAATATAGGAGTTGGTTTTCACATTACCATTAGAGCTGCCATGGACATGAATGTTAGTAGACGTCATAGTTTTGTCTTGCTTGTTATTGTCATTGTGCTCTAAGTTCAAATCATTGAGCTCCACAACGTCACATGGCACCGTTTCACTACACATTACCTTCATAGCTTTAGGCAAGTAGACATCTTAACAAGGGAAAGATCCTATATGTAAACGAGAATGAACAAAATTTAAGATTATGAGTCCCCTAAGAATCATCATGATATGTATAACAGTAGTGACAGCAACGATGTACATTTTTAACATAGGAAACATAAGGGTAATAGTTCTGGTCTATGATGATGGGTAGTAGATATTGTTCATGATGATACTCTCGAAGATGAAACTGATGGTCTTCCTTCGAGGAAGACGAAAAAGATTTTCATGTCTTGATCCTTATTACATTTATTGTGCCGATAAAAATGAAGCTTCTCATTGTCAGCTTGAGGACATCTTTCTCTCCATGTTTTTGTAGAGGTTATTGATGCTAATGTCATGGGTGGGATTGTATAACATATTGAAGATGGTCATATTAGTACAATCTAGAATGATGGAGGCACTATCATTGTCGATGCTAATAACCAAGTTGGTAATATAGATATTAGTCGAATCGATGATGTGGATGCCATTAGTATTGGGGTTGCGAATCAAAGGTAATGTTGTTCTTTGATTACAGACATGCAAGTGGAAGAACTTGCTATACATGGAAAAATAGTTGCATTCATCACAAAATTGAACAACCAATGGTTGTACAATAGTATTTCAGCAATTGTGAGTGCAAAGCAAATTGAGAAAGAATCAATGTTAATTTGTGCGTGGTAGAGCAAGGAAGGAAGACAAGGGAGGACTTTGTAGTTGCTTTTCTTGGGGCATTAGTTGCAAGGCCACACAAAAGCTCCTTGTCCATTGAATCTTCCACCACTTGAGATTACCAATCAGTTCATCAATGTATTAGAAATCAATCCAATTTTGTGTAAGCTTCGAGATGATTGTGAAGGTTACTAGACCAAGGAGGTACGCTCCCTTTGGGATCACTATCATCGTCTTTCCTTTCATTGTGCATGCATTCTTTGTCGTTTCAAAAGCTTATCATGTCTATATTAGTTACAACCATAAGTATGGAGCAATCATGATTACAATCATAAAATATAATAACTGATCATGTCAAACTTTTGACAATTTTTTCCCAAGTTCATGAAGATGTTTACATTGACAGAAAATAAGGAAGACGAGAAAACTATTTGATATTACATTACTAATCCTCCACATTATAAACACCTGCAGCCATGTTTGCACTTGCATGACTTAGATGAAAAACAAAAAACCAATCAAGCATATGCTTGATTCTAAATTTATGATCAATGTCTTCTTTGAATCCATAGCTTGTGCCTGTGCATGTCAATCAATCTTCTGAATTAAGTAGTTATTTATAGTGAGGGCATGCAAAAGGTTAACTTCTAAACATGTTTTACGCAAATTTTAGTTACCAAGTTAACATTCACTTGCTATGTGTGCTTGCGGTTAAGAGAGACTTACAATTGTTGGGATGTCATTATTCTTAGCTACATTCAACATGAAAACAACCTCTAATTAAAATTTTTGTGTTGAGATATATCCCTCAATCTAATTTATCCATACTTTTTTCTTTAATTGATATGCACTGTGCACTTGTTTAATTTCATGTAAATTTTGAATTATATGAACCAGCATTCATTAAAAAAAATATTGACTGATTAACTCAAACACAGATACTTTAGAAAAAAAATCCAACATGATATCAGAATTGGATTAAAGAACACATTGACTGCATCAACTCAAACTCTCCTACCTAATGGTTGCAAAATCCAAATGACTTCCATGTGTTTGGGGGAAATATATACACGCATCGATTTTCAAGAGAAACACCGAGTCTCAGCAGCTAAAATTGTGTGCCCAACAAAAATATGGTGACATATCATACCAGTAGTGATCCACAGAGCATCACCAACGATAGAAAGATCGAGGCAACAAGGTGTCGCCCGTATGAAGGCTGTGAGGGTGGTAGCCCAGATTCTTCTCCAGCGCCAAAGGATGATGGTTTGGGTGAAACAGCAGGGAGTGGTGGCTCCACCACATCCGCAGCGTGCAGGGAGGGCATTGGAGCTAAGGTAGGGGGCAGAGCCTGAGGATCCATGATCTGCAATAAGCCACCAATTGGGACAGGACTCATGTAGCTAGGAGCTTGATCACCCAACTTTGAACAAGTATTTCCTGCATAATGTGAAGAACACTAAGATTGTAGCAACATATGGTGAATATTAGATTGAGATGTTGGTTCAATGTTAAGTGGCATTTCTTTTAAATGGCATAATGACCATGAACTTCTACTTGTGCTGGTTAAGAAAAGAGGTACATTAAGATCATAAATAAAAGACAACAGCATAATTTGTATTATGATACAGCGGCAAGGTTGCATCTGCGACAAGAATAAACTTGAAGCGTGACACCCAAAAGACAGTGAACTTTTTATCCCTATGACATAACTCCAACGCACTTTGCGGAATGGAGCCATCTATTTAGTGTAAGGTTGCATTTGTAATGAGAATATAACTTTAAGAGCGACATTCAAAAGGCAATGCATTTTTTATCCCTATGAGGTAACTCCAACACACTCACTTTGCACGATGGAGGCATCTATTTACTGTAATAATGCATATATAATAGCAAATCAATGCATGCAAATTACTTACGCTTGCTAACTGTTAGGACCCTTACGTTTAGCTTATGCAAGCACAGAAAGTAGTTTCTTTGGCAGCTACACCTGTTTCAAGTGAACAAATTGCCTCTGGGAGTCATTAGCTACAAACTCAACTCTAAAGAAGGGCTTAGGAAG